GCAGATGCTTGAAACATATTTCATCTACTGACATTTATCCCCAGGTCTGGGTACTAACGATTTAGGTCAGATTATTGCAAGTTATTCTGGCTTTTACGCCCTCAGACGAGATCTTAAATTTAAAGCTGTTATGAAGTCTTGAAATCAGCTTTTTTTTTTTTTTCGTTGCAAAACTTAGCGAAACAGACCGACTATTAGCTTGAATGACGTGCTGTTTAGACAGACGTGGCGTTAACTGTGTTATGCATAATGTTTCGGGTAAGAAATGTTTAGAATTTATTAATCTTTTATATCATTTGCAAAGTGTTTAAGTCACAGGAAAATTTCCGGCCATTATGAATTCATAACGAGACAACGCTTGAACAATCAATCAAATGAAAATTCACTTCTACGATCAGAGAAAAAAAAAACAAAATGCTTCACTTCAAGGCTGAAAGAAGTCTCTAAGGAAACCTTCACTTAGTTTTACATTGTAATCGAACACAATATTCACTTTCAACTTAGGACAGCGTGTTATAAGTTAATTACTTTCTTCGAGGGACTGCATCTGTCGCACAATTATCACTATTTACCACATGCTTCTGAATCTAGCGTGTTTTGGCATCATAGATTTAATAGCGAAGTAGCTAGGAATAATCAGACTTACAGTTACCGACTTCTGCTTTTAATTTCTATGGACTAAGCTCTTTAATAATGGTTCCTTCTCAAATTACAGCCAAACTGAAACATTTCTCTACGCATGTGCAGTCGTCTACTATTTCTAATTATAGGGGAAAAACTTAGCGCGCTTCAGTGAAAATTATTCCGTCTTGTTGAATCTCTATATTGGGCAATTAATTTCAATTCTTCTCAGTCCAAAGTTCGGTTGGAGTTATGGTATTGTCTCTGTATACTTAAGAAATTTCCTTGCTCGACTGACTGGTTCCAGGAGGGAATGTGCATTTATAACTGAGAGAGTTAGGAGCAGTTGCAGGAGTGAATCTTTTCAAGCATTGGTTGCCGAACGCTCCCGCGAAAGTGGAAGCTAGATCATAGGCGCGGGTCAAAGGGCTTTCTCGAAATTACTAAGGTAGTCTGCTTTAGATAGCAGAGATTTAGCGAATTGTACCGACAGTTCACAATAAATGCTACGGAGACTGATTGAAACAAACTTCAAAAGTGGGGAATTGTAAAAATGCGTCATTTTGAAACATTGTGTTTCTACTGTGAAAAGCAAAGGGTTTATACAAATTTCTTCACATAATGCCGCTTCTACTAGCATTCTCAGGTATTTTTGAAGGGGTGGCGAGGATAAAACGCCTCAAAATGAAAACACAGAGGTGTGGTCAGGTGAAAACAAACTAGAAGCTGATGTGAACGTGAACGTAAGTATTTCGCTCCGTTTCAGTTAAGACGAATACTCTTAAAAACGTTTTTGTTCTTGTGATCGGGGCCGAAATATATATCATGATGACCAAACAAAATGTGACTCTATGGAGTTAAACATGAGTGCAATACCTACCCGAATCAAATTACTAAACGGATTGAATATGTGACCGATAAATGCTTTAGCAGGATTGAGAACTTGTGTACGTTTTGTTCGAACGGAAGTTGAATACCGTAAGTGGTTTCAGAAAAAGTGAAGACCTGATCTTGGGATACTCCTTTTTTTTTTAAATATAATTTCAAGGAAGTATCTTTTAAGGATATACGATATGACGGTGGAGACTCTCTTAAAACCATATGTTTGCTATCGTTGTAAAAACAACGAAGGGTGCAGAAGATATATTCTGACTAATTTGACGTAAAACTATGGACGATGCCACCGCATGTGATATCTATATATAGCTTCTGGGTGTGGCTGAGAACTTTGATAAAGAGAACTTCACATTAGAGTGATAATTTAGGAATAACAGGAAAGATTTTCAAGGCGGAAAATCATCTAAAAGATAATCTCGTGAGAGTAATGTCCTTCTATCGTAAATATGCAATCAGTTTGGAACTATCATTGCCTTTCAGTAATAAAGTGGAAAATCTTTCCAGAAGCTTTGTCTCCTAAAAAGCTGAGCTTGAAAGTGAAATAAGTTTAATAAACAAAAAGAGGCATGTCTGTCCTCGATGAGCTCTTTCCTGACTAATAGGAACAGATAAGTAAGTGATATCTCATGAGGATGACTGAGAGTTTGAAAAGAGTGGCAACTGGCACAGATTCGCATTTTTAATTATTTTCATCAGATAATCATGTGCATTGCAGTTTGTATCCAGTAAAGTTTGGGTGGCATAATCAGCCACTAACGACAATCAAAAACAAATGACTTATAGGAAGATCATCTTGATCGATAAATTGATGGAAGTGCGTCATTTAACGGGCGGGGTATAACCTACAGCAGATGAGAAAGTACTTCATCAGTTCGTGATTATCACGAAAGCTCGACTGTCTATCGACTCACTCCCAAAACTTCTCGTTGCAATTGAATTGTAACTGAAAGGGCCTTTCATTTTAAAATGGACTATATTTACGGAAAGGAGGAGACACAATGCGAAGAAAATAGAATCGACGAATGTGTGTGGTCTTTCGACTTCGCGAGAATTGAAATAACGCCCAATAAATTTACCTGTGTTAATTAACTTCTAAGGTGAAGCCTTTAAGGTTGGTCTTGATCTTTCATCATTGTATCGTTGCGGGTAACCAATTAAGGATCAAAAGCTTTCATGTAAAGAACGTTCTTATTACAAAATTATGGTGTTATGGTTTCTGAAAGCACTGTCCGAGAGAGGTTGTTCCGTTCGAGATTTACCAGTAATCCTGTTGATCCCAGTGCGTAGATCAAAGTTAAAGACTAATGGAGTAGAAATTGAGGGAATGAAGGAAGAGTAGAATGTGCTAGATTGTCAGTTTCACTAATTTTGGAAAATTTGGCAACAGATTCCGGATATCATGTCAAAAAAACACGCACTACAAAGAAGTTCGCAGGTTTCATCCTCTCTTTTAAGTAAAAAAATGACCCACTCTGTGAAGTGCATTTCGAGTTTGAATCTATTTTATGGCTGATATGCATGATTTAGGAATGCTTCAAAATATAATTAACTCTCACTATTCGAAATTTCTATAGCTTTTTGAAAAAACGGTCTGCTTCACAATTCTTACCTGTTGGGGAGGGGGATAGATACCTTCTCATTCATTGTGCTTCCGGTACTGGTCAGCGTATGCTGTTTGGACCACCCATGTACCTTTTAAGTACTCTTCTCGATAAGGTAATCATTGATATCCTGGGAAAATTCAATACATAAAAGTTTCCAAAAGTTGATCAATCCCGGCAGACTCGTTTTTCTCACCTGCAGTGAGATTTTTCCATTTACTCACTAAAAGCTACTTATTTTTTTCCCAGCTCATGAAAACCAAGATCGTCTTTTGAAAACTCTTTCAATAGTGGAGTTTTCAAACAATTCGTGAGAAAAACGTTATGTTTCTAGAACAGACAGGAGAAAAAGGAAGGCTTTTGACGACGGTAACGTGACATTGTTATACAGCGCTGCCTACATCAATGTTTTAAGCGCTCTAGTATAGAAGATATTCGAAAACGTGGAAGTAAACCGAAACGAAAATGCCAATTACGACGAAAGTATATTGCACCGTTTTGGCTGAGACTAAAACGGATACTTTGAATGACGCACTACTGTGGTCGAAGTTTAAAAGTCAGTATTAGGAGAGGCTAATTTGCAGTAGGATCATTAGTTTGAAACCACATTGCCGTATTCTCCACAGCTTTTAGAAGAGAATAGCGACAAGTCGACAGTCACGCGCGATCATCTGCGAATTTTTCTAACGACAATTTTAGGTCGAAAGCGCCACATTGTGCTGTGGCTGTATTTGTCCCAGTAAGATAAAAGTTTATGAGCCAATATCCGTTCAGGAGGTTTCGAATTATTTAAGTGAAATCTGATTACCACTTTCAAGAGCAGGTTACAAGTTTAACAGCGAACAAGTTGATGCTTCTGGGATGAATTATCAATCACGAGTGGGATCTGAAATCATTAAACGTATAACCATGTTAACCAAATCAAAAGTGAAAGGGACAGTGAAAAAATTACGGGCACAATTTTCAGAAAACGGCTCTGAAACTCGAAAGCAGACATAACGCAAGGTATCCTAAAGGTCAAATTACTTAAACTTTGTTTTTTTTTTATTTTTTCATTAAGCACGTAGTTACACTCAGTTAATTGCAAAGGAAGGAATCTTTTTTTTATTGCACCGTCAAAACTTGTCCAACATCTTCAAAAACGTAGGAACGACTACAATTGTTACCTAAGAAAACACATTTCGTGCGCGCACACGTGAAGATTTTTCTGTTCTTTAACGTAATTATTAAACTTACTACTGGTAAATAAGCTGTAGTCAACCCTGGAATCCTATAGTCTTATCCAAAAATATCGATCATACTTGAGTGAGTTTTATATCCGCAGCAGGAAGCTAATGCTGCCTTGAAATTTTTCAATGGCTTTGCGTGTGGATACCTTGGGCAAACAGCAGGTATTCCGGCCTATGTCCTCCAAAATAGAAATAAATTCAAAGCCAAATTAGCAAGTTGTTTCCCGAAAGTACTAAGTCTCATCGAAAAACGAAAATAACTCAGACGGCAAAGGATCGATATACCTAGTTTTCCCATAGAAAATTTTCCTAAGTGAAATGTTGACACGTTGTTTACATAGTGATGATACAATAACATTCATCTAACGCTCCCCCGTCACGCCCACCTTAAGCAATTCGTGAATGGGATTATTTAGCCCATCTTTTTATGCTGTGACTTTAGGATCTGGCGTTTTGAGCTCAGAATTCAAATCTGAATTTTCGCCTTTAAGCGCTTTAAGGTAAAAGCCTTGTAAAACGTCTTGGCGTTATGTGACAACTCAATTGTTCTATTTCGCTGGTGTTGTTTATTTAAGACACCCAGACATGCCCACCTACCGCAGCTCTAATTGTAAGCGATTACCTTAATTAATTTTGTTATCTGCATATCAAAAATGGTACATACAAACCCTCACCACGTTTTAATGGAACAAAAACGACACAAAATAGAAAGGCGGCTTCCTTGCGGTCGAACTCAGAGGGTATAATTGAAAGAAGATCAAGTATTGTGGGTTTTTGGAATGCTGGACATTTTTATCTCCTATTCGTTGTATTTTTCTCAGTCGGTTTGCAGTGCGTGTTCCCTATTGAGTCAAAATGAGATCAAAGCTTTCGGCGGCAGTTAAGTCTGACATGCTGTTATTTTCTATGTGAGTATGAAGCGGCGATCCATTGGAACTGTATGAGTAATTCTCTATATACTTGGATGCTTTCATATCCAAGGCAAAAAAAACCATCGCAAAGTAGATTCTAGGTATTTATTCGCCTCCGCAAAACCAGTTTAAACGTTCCCTTTGTTTAGGATTTGTTGGATCACCTTCATTCTGGGACGAGGTCAGGAGGTATGAGAATTAAGTTGATTTTGATGCTGTCTTTATTTCGGTGGATACTACTGAAAAGTTTATTGTTAATTATCGTGTCTATAATGCTAACCACAGGCCAACATCTTCAAAGATCATGTTAGGGCGGAGAGGAGAAGAAGCGATACAAGAAGCCTGCCATTTCACCGGGAAACACAACTGTATTCAAGGGCAAGCAGAAGCCACCTTCGCATTAATGGTAAACACATCGACGCAATGGGAAGAGATGGCGATAAATACGGTTGGTAAAGCCTCTGTATCCTTCGAGTTATGAACGGCAGAGTCAATATTTCTAGGAAATAAGCTGACAATAAGCGAGTCCTGCAACATTCACTGAATTTAACAACTTAAGGTCTTTGTTCACGCTACGCGCCAACACGCTGTATCTGAAGCAGGTATTTTGCTGTTAAAGTTGTTGCCGTCTTGTCTTAATCGACTTATATTATTGTAATAACATTCGAGGAAAATTTGAAGGGTTAAGACTGTAATAAAGCTTTTGTTTCTTTTAACTTGTTGCCAATGAATGGCGCCACACGAGTTAAGGAGATTACATCGACCATTAAACTGACTTAAGTATCATGGCAGCGTATAATATCTTGCTTTTCACACATTTTTACAAGAGGCAATTAATCGGATCGTAACTGAGCTATACCATTTGAGTTTCAAACAACTTATCTCTGAAATCTACTTTCATTTTGTGTGTCATCTTTTGATTTTTTCTTATTCAGTCGTAGGGCTTTGTAGTCTAAGATACAGGGTCATTTTAAAACGAAATGCTCTTAAATTTTCTGTGAGTTTATTCCTTCAGTTACGTTTGGTGTTAAAAATACCTTACTCAACCGATTCGCAAGCGCCTAACTGGGATTGATATGGGTTATATTTTAGCAGAGTAATGTTAAAAGTTACTGCTAGCATTAATATTGTAGCAGAAAGTATACACGCGGAGTTTACAGTTTACTTTATGCCTTGATAGAACAGGATGCATAACCGGTGATCGTGAACAGTGCACACTGTCAACTGCGAGCCTTATTAGCGGCAAAACGACTAATCCTAACAGAAACATTAAAGTCATCGCATAAGCTAGGAATTTAATCTATTTATGTCCAGTCAGCGATTGTTTGTGCTTTAGCGGCGCCAGGCTTTACTGTTGATAGTTTTATGAGATCCCAATCAAGCCTTTTAGTGCAAGATTGTCGACCTTGGGGGTCTCGCAATCAATAAAATTTACTTGGTCTTCTTTTTCTGAATACAGTTGAGATGGGTCCTCTTGCCGAAAAAGGTGCTTGCCGTAGCTATATTAAAGTGAATTGAATTGACTCAAGCAGGAAAAAGCTAGCAGCTTTGGACCGTGAATAGACACGGATTCACTCAGTACAAACTGTGTAGAGTGTAAATGATTATAACGTTAAGTCAGCGTGAGAGATTACGAAGAGTTTTATCCCAGGTTGATAAATTGTTACACGCATCATAAATTAAACTTTGCTTAGACACAATATAAAAGTTTCCGAAAGAATTTTCTGAATTTATCTTGTGTAAACAAACAAAACGAGCTGTTTGACGAATTGGAACCTGCCGCTAACCGGTCTCTGCTCTCTTTTCCTTGACAGCCAAGCTGGTCATCGAGTCAGACAATTTTGGACGGGTGCGGATTCGTGGAGCGCTGACAAATTACTACTTATGCGTCAAACGGAACGCTTCGCTGATCGGAAGAAAGGTAAGGTAGCTCTTATTGCTTATGGTCATTTCATTATTTTATGCGCCAAATGTTTACAGAATACTGTGTATTCTTTGTTAATAGGTAGGATTAAAAGTATGGGAGTAGAGCAAATTTGCATTGAAAACGTTCACAGAAAGGAAATTCCTAAGAATGGCGTATACCAAAATTATTATTCTGGTATTCCAAGCGTGTTTTCTTTAAACCAAGTCAAGTTTGATTAAAAAATCGTTTCCATCCATTCCCAGCAACGTTAACGAATTAACTAGCGTCAATATGTCCGCATGTTTGGACTTGAATGACACTTTGTCAATATAACCCACGCTTGGGAAAATTCCCTGTATAAAGGACAAAGGAGAGTCAAAGGGATTTCTTGAACACGTCAAAACGTGTATGGCCAGCTGAACTACCAAATTATCTTCTTTACAAATTTTTACTTTCACGGTTTTCATGCAAAACGATTTTTTTTGTTTTTTTGTTTTTGTCTTCCAAAAACACTATAACTAAACGTTTTTTTTACAGTCAATCTGTCGCCATCCCAGCCTTTTCAGACTACTTATTTGAAAGAAAATGAGCTAAATTTCGCGTAGTCTGAGGAGATCAGAAAATGGATAAATGTTTTTTGTTGAGTAGCTTTGACACGGAGACGCCCAGAGGATTACATCCTTATCAATATCAATTTCCCCGAAAAATTTCTAATCTCACTAAACCAATAAAATAGATGAAAGTCTTTAAACTCAGAAAACCAATTAACTTACTTAATTGACTTTTCCCGTGAAAGAGACTCCAAAAAAGGTAGAATTTATTCCTTTGCTATAGCTGGGGCGTGCTTTATACAGAATTCTTTCTACTTCAAACCACTGTTTTTTTAACGTATTGTTGATTGGCATGACTGTCGTACTTTTCTTCAGGCCCTAATTAATCTTAACGATTAAAAAAACGAAGGCGAGCTCGACACATCTTGGCTTCGGACCAAGGTTCAGGTTCCAAACTCCTCAGCGACAGATAGACGATCATTCGAGTCTTTTTCACGTGGTTACACGACTGGTCATTTGTGATTCAAGGATGAACTCGGAATCGAAAGTTGATCCCTTCTTATCACAAAAGCTCCATTTAAATAAACCTGTGCTAAGCAGATCACTTCCTCTCTCTTCCCCATCCCCCCACTTACCCTCCCGTCAGGTCTCGACGTGGCCCACCTTGAGAGTCGGCGTTGAATTACGTGTAATCCAGTGAGACAGAGTAACCAACGAGATACCATTTCTTGCAGGCCACAAAGTCCAAAAGGTGCGTGTTTTACGAGAAGTACGCCGAAAACCATTACACAGAATTTCTTTCAGCTTACAACGAGAGTTGGACAATAGCAGTGTCCAAGAAGGGCAAAATGAGGCCTGGGCACAAAGCACGAAGAGGCCAAAGAAACGCTCAGTTCATTGAACGAGCTTCTAAGATCATTATTCAAACAAAAAATGTCCGCGAGGCGCTCTATCATGGGCTCCGTGACCATATCGAGCAGCTCCTACGTGCCTACAGAGCAAGGGAAGGAGGCGAGAACAAGGAGAAGCCGAGAAAAATGCCACACCCTGGGTACAGTTCAGGGTCGTGGAAACGGAAAGCAAAGATTAAGAGGAGAGAGCAAAAAATGAAATTGCGATCTGAGAAGAGACTGTTGAAGTTACTTCGTAAAGAACAACGGAGAGAAAGGAGAAAAGAGAAATTTTAAGTATCACCATTTGGTGAACTTGCTCCTCTTAAATGTAGCTGATACTTGAATTTATCTCTTGCAGATATCCCCTAGTCATTAGTTAGGACCCACTTCGTTCACTTTTCAGGTTTTCTTGAATTTATTTTTTCAACACGCAGTCTGCAAGCGAATTGCGCTCCAACGTTAGACTGAAGTATTCCTTCGTTCGCCTACGGTATTTATTCGATTAAACGCCGCCCTCGAATAAAGGCCGCATTTTAGGGCAGAAATATTGATAAACGCCGCCCTCGAACAAACGCCGCAACATGGTGCGGTGTTTATTCGAATAATAGACTCAAAAAGCACACAGCAATCATTGCTTCGATCGCAGTTGGAAAAATTGAACCAGTGAGTGAACCAGACACAATTTTTATTAATGTACCAGTTCTGATGTCGTGATAGCATATCCGACATTGGATGTTTATTCACTTTACGTATTGCAGCAGTCTTAACATGCCGATCGTGAGATGACTCTTTAGACAAGCACCAAAAAATGTTTCTGTTTTTTAAATTAAATGGTTAGTTATCATACAGTTGTTTGAAAGAAATAAATTGGATTCTAAATAAACGCCGCCCTCGTATAAGCGCGCCCTCAAGTCGCGAAAAATTTAATAAACGCCGTGGCGTTTAATTGAATAAATACAGTAAGCTTTTATTCAGCAACTCATTTTTTGTAGCTGAAGATCCTCGGCTTGAATCATTCGAAAATATCAAATCTGCGAGTCGTAAATTAAGGAAAATGTTAGTGGTGTCACGTGTTATTAAGTCTTAAACAGGTTTATCATCAAACTAGAGACAAATTTCGATGTGCGCTCAAGGTCAGTCACGCGAGACGCAAGAAAAATAGAGACGTGGTTAGTTTGACATCTTTTTTCTTTACAAAAAGTAAAAAAAAAGCTACCAGTTTTAATTATTTATGGTTAGAAGGACCCCTCGTTATTTCCAAGTTTGAATAGCGGGCAGAAATTGCTTCGACGGCAGCACTACCGCTGAAAATAAATACTTTTGTTGACACTTCATCGTAACGGCCTTTGATTAACTGTCGAAGAATCTCAGTTGAAAGCAGTTTTAACTTCTGCCCAAACGTAACGGGAACAATTTATGGCGATTAAAAGCAAAAAGTAGGCCGATTATTCTCTTACAGTGAAATAATCTGATCGATCCTTATTCGCCAGTGGCTTAGTCGTCATTCAAATTTTCTAGTATCCACGCCTTTTTTTTTTTTTTTCTCTAAATGTCTGTATATTCAACCCAATAATTAGAAATGGAAGCATCTCAATGAATTACTAGGAGTATATATTGAAGAAGATTTTGAGCAATACTAGCAAGAGGATATATTTTTTCTATAATAACTCAAGGAAAAGTATTCGTGTCCTAAGACTGGTAGGAAAAGTACCGATGTTATTGTATCCACTTTCATTCAATTTTGTATTACTTTGAGACTTACATGCATGACTTATTAGTTAAATTTTTCTTTGTACATATATTCAATGCACTTACATCGACAGGACAACATTTGCGCTGAAATGCGAGTAAAAAATTTAATTTTGAATTAAAGTTACAGTTACCAATTTCATGTGAGCACCATTCATTTTACAAGGCAGTAGAATCATGACATTGCATGCAGTGGTTTTCCACCCTGCATGCACTCTTTTCAGAGAGTCTGTTGAGTTGAATGGCTTAAAACTGATAAAAATCCTCGATCAGTTAATGAATATATAGGGAGTTGTTCAAGGGATGACTTTCTCGTTCTCACCGTCTCGAAATTACCGGCCACGATAAGAAGTATTATGTCGTATGCCATCTTAGTAAGCTTTCATGACATCTTTTATTTAAACAAAAGGCATCAGGGCATTTCCTCTTGCGTTTACCGAAACTTCTTTCCCCTTTCCTACCTCTGGAACCGGCGGAGAACAGGAGAGCCGGCTGAGCTTAAAAAAAAAACCTGAAATTGGTGGGTGGAAAGAGACAAAATACATACGCGCGCGCTGAAAGTGGACGGAACTGATAACCTTGATGTATAACATTTCTAAGTAGAGTCTTGTTAGTTGTTTAAACAATTGCGAGCCGGTTCCATGAAATAGTGTTACAGGGGGCTTGCCAAGCACTGTTCGCTTATCTCAGTAAATCTCGAGCTTCATATTGCTATATTAATACGTGATTTATTTGCCACTAGAAAAAAAACAAGCAAAACAAAAAGACGAAATGATAGAAAATAAAACGGAACGAAATACAAGGGAAATGTTTTTGACAATGAAACGAGGTAAAAGTGGAATAAATTATCATCGGAGAATAATCTCATTTTCCTCTCTTTCGTCGAAATTGTAGATGTCAAAACAAGGAATCAGAGCCCTGTATCTTTTTACTTCCAACGATCTTTAAAATTCATAAAGGGAATTCAGGCGAAAGTTCTCTACTAGAGTGCGTGCACTAAATTTTGCACGTGCTGGTCAAAATGCTAATTACCTGGAGTATTGGAGAGATGACGTATGCTTGTAGATGGGAAGAAGTTGAACAAAAAGCAGCTACCACAACAGCTTGCCTTGAAATACCCGAAGCAAAACTACATTTTCAACGCTGAAGAATAGAGTGCAAGCAAGAGAACACGTCGTTTAATTCCGAATCGTACGACGAGTAGTAAGAAAGAGCCGCACGCGAGTCGCGCGAACACTTCTCACAGTGAGGAAGATTCAAGAATTCGAGCTTATGGAAAACCTTAGGTAATATTTCCTAGAGACTTTTGCTTGTTCAGAAAAAAAGTAGATTAGGAGTCGCATTTATACGGGTACCTATCTTTCTAAGGAGAAATAGAGTTAACTAATAGAGTTCCTGATTTTGATTTCTGATTTCTGATTTTTTCAATCTTTGTTTTACGTTTTACAATCCAATAGCTTGGAGTCATGTCGGTTAATTTTCCTGCCACATTTGTAGCGAGCGCTCGTAAGAAACGATCGCAGAGACTGAAATTATAAGGTTAGTCTCTTGATAACGCGATCTTTTACGACACAGAATTTTGATAACTCACAAGTTTAGCTCTAAAGTTTGGATCGGCTGGTAAATTATGAGCTTCAAAATGTTTTATATACCCCGTTGAAAAGAAAGATTTCGGTACTCTATGGCATCCTTTACAATATCAATTTTTTGTGATATTTAAGTAGTTGAAAGATTCGCAATGTCTAACAGAATTTTGAATATTGCAAAGTCTCAAAAGCGATGTTTTTCGTGTCCGACTGCAAATACATTCATATTTTTCTTCTTCGCATCAAATCATCGGTTTGATGTTGTATGTACACAAAAAATTAACAGGAGAGTCAGAAAAGTCATCACTTTTGTGCCCATAGCATAATTCTGTATTGGAAACTGGAGACTAGTCATGAAATGGCTTCTGTTGATTGGCCTAAAAATCCCGCGTGACTTCTGTCTAAAAATGAGCGGGAAAATGAGACGCGGTGTGTCACGGTCGTTTCGTTGCTTCACAAGGTGGTTTCGGTGGTTTTGTTAGACTTTATTCAGGTATCTTCGGTCAATTATGGGAAAACAAGAAGTCATCTGGCGTCAAAATATTCTTGGTGAGTAATTGTACTCTAACGCTAAATGTGATTGTAAATTAGTTTGTTTATTTGCTTCGGAGTTTTTGTGGCATCATCATAACAATCATTCTACATGTGATTTCAACGGACCTTTCGGCTAAGTATCCGTGATTTAAATATCACTGTAAATGATTGCAGCCTCAAATTGAATCATCATGAGATATAACTTAATTTTGCTCGGATCAGATCGTGTAATTTACCCGCAATATTTCATGATCACCCTTCGATTATTTAAGTTTTTTATGATGCTAAAATTACAATATCATCATTACGTAATCAAATTATGGATCAAGTTATTTTAATTTAAACTTGCTACATAATTATAAATCATTATCATTTTCATTACTGTTCAAACTGCTTCATTGTGAAGATCATCTTTATTAACGGTTCAATTAAAGTCTAGGGTGTCCTTCTTGGAATTTAAGTTTTCCTGAGAAATGCATGCTTTTGGAAGAACACCATATTGACGATATTCACCGTTAGTCGAATTTTTTATCAACTCTTTGTTCTCTTTGCTATTATAAATATTGCTGTTATTATCATCATCATTTACGTATTTTTAAAGCAAGTACTTTTTTCTTGTCGTGCATTGGGAAGATTTAATTTTTAATCCTCTCGGCAGAGAAATAACGTTATTTTGCGAATTATTTCTATGTCAATATTAAGTGAGGCCCATCTTAGTTTATAGATTACACACGGTAATATATCACAGGTTACACCGTAGCGATATTGCGATACACAATGGTTTATGCGTCACCAGCTAACACACAAGTACGATTTCTGTGATTTTTTTTTGTCATGAACCACCAATTGCAAAGGCTTGCGCGGTTTGGCAGCAGAATGCCACATGAGAGATTCTGTAATGAAAGGAAAGTGTTAGGGTGTGTCTATCTTGCAGTCAAGCGACTTGTCCCTTAACGTAGAGACGTCGATTAACTTTTTCCAACGCAACTGCAGACAAATTGTCAAAAAGGAAAAAAGCTATTTTATCTTTAGACTTATTTGTCTGCCTCCTCTTAGTACCTTTGAATTTGTTACATTGCTATTCGACCCACACGTTTTTTCAAGGTCAGTTATTATCCTCCAACTAATGAAATTGTTTTCCTGAGAGGTGTTTGAGCGGTAATACATGGATGTCCCGTACAATCGAACGCGGTTTCGTCATCTTTATAACAGGCTCACAAAATCTGAAAACAGCCCTTTAGAGCTTTCTAAGGTAACTCGCCTTATTTAGGTTAAGGTTTAACCCTTTAACTCCCACGAGTGACCAATACAGAATTTCATTTTACAGTATCAGTACAATATCAAGCAGAAAAGTGATGAGAATGAAGAAAAATACTAATTAGGGGATTATTAGTTGATCCAATACTAAATTCTCCAAATTAACATCACAAGAACTATATGGCAGACAGTAAGGAGAATTCTTAATGATATCTTGGGAGTTGAAGGGTTAAATCTTATTTCATAGCCTAAAACCGTATAGACTTCTTTATTAGTTGAACGATTTAAGGCAGGTTTGAATGTGACGGAATTTCAAGAAATATCTTGACGTTCTTGAGAGCCGAATGTGATAAATCAACCTGAAACAAATAGCAAATTCCGAAAAAACGATGACTTCATACTGAGAGTGTTTCCTTAGACCACACAGTTGGTAAACAGCGGAAGCCGAACCCAGGATGTGATAAAAGCACAGAAATAATACCTCAGTTCCTCTATACGTGAATTAAAACTAAATCATGAAAGTTTCCGTAAGAGATACAATAGACTTTCAAAATACGTCAGGAAACATTTATACAGGTTGCTTTTAAAACGCAACAGACCACACAATTCGTCTGTTTCGCCTTAAAGAGCGTAAAAAAGATGCTCTGTAGCGCATAAACCATGGGGCTCTACAACAATATTACTCTGATGCTTTGCAGTTTACTCACTACATAAATATCGGAAGAGAGATCGTTGTGAGGCCTCAAGTTCGGCGCTTTGATTCCAGCTTGCCTCATGGTAGCGGATGATGAGAAGCGGCTCCGCGTATGTAATAAAATGTTTTCTGCTAATCATCGAAAAAAAGGAAAACCGATCAACAAACTTACCGTCTTGAGTAGAAGACGAATGAAGCCTCATCTGGTATCAATTTTGAGTGACTCCTTTACTCCAACTAGTAATTGCATGGGTTGTTTTTAGGCAGACATTTGCCACCAAGTGTGCTCCTTTCATCTGTATTGTGAGTATGTCCATTAAGCCATACATTTGCTATGTGATTCCACTGCGGGGTCCCACGTGTTCCTAAATTAGTTTTGTAGAGGTGTGGAGATTAATGTACCTTCGCCCACTAGAAATGTTAGGTAGACAGCTTCCTTTAACGACCACAAATCTTACCTGTTTCAGCGAAATATCTTCCCCTTCTAGTCTGCTACGCAGATTAAGAGTAAATAGGCTGCATTTCAATCCATTTTTATGATCAAATCCCGCAAATTGAAATGGCTTGTCGATAACGATTTTGCCTGCGGCAAGTTTGACTTACCGCTGATTCGAAACTTCCTTGTCAAATCCGATAGAAAAGCGTGCAAAGCAGTAAAAGGTGCTCGAACGTTTCTATTATTTCCAGATCAAAGTCGCTCTTTCGATATGGCCAATTTATTTTTTCTTTCCTACCATATCTCTGATACACGCGTGGTACCTAGCTCGTTATTCGGTTCTCGATGGCCTGTTTACACAGAGTATCGTTCTTCTGGGTGTACCGACCTTCTGCCGAGAAAAACGTGTGCAAAGTGAAAATCACCAACCTCATCCTAGGTGGTCAAAGTACATTTATATGTCTATCTTTTTTTGACTTGGAAACAATGGTCTAAAGTTCGGTCCAGAAAGAACACGACTCCACGAGCCAGTATCTGACGCGTCTACTTCGGAGAGACCAAAGAGATCCGCAATTTTTAAACAAATTACAGACTTCTCAGTTTAAATTTAAAATTACGCCGAAAGTCGTATATCAACGCCATGTGTTCTCAACAGTTAACGGATTAACTTTGCGCCCTCAAGTTGCATGATAAATTCCCCATTTCCAAATGTTTTCGCCAAAGAAAGCAACCCTTTGTGATAATTTGCTATTTCTTGCCTGATCTTTTATCCGCCACTTCTTAAATATATTTGTACAACGTTTAGGTTACTTGATCTTAAGGCCTTTATGCATTCTGGGAAAAGCTGATATTTATACGAACAAACTTTTGTTTATTGCGATTATTATAACAATTCTGTAATTTTTCCGATTTTTTTCAGAGAGTGAAAAGTGAGTGATCTATACGATTATGAACCTCGTCATTATTTCCCCACTGAAGAGAAGATGACATATACGATTATTCAATAATAATTACGCCCTCAGGCTATTTAAAATAGCCTTGAAGAGAGCTCAGCGAGGTACTACACCTACATCAAGGCCGGACAGCCAAAGTCAAATTAAGCGAAAGTTTTTGTGAGGTACCGACTACCGTTGAATTAATAGTTGTCTTTCTTCTTTTTTCGTTTGAACTATTTATTTTTAGGAAAGCACAGAATGAAAAGAAATATGTTTGACAATTTGTCTGACTTCTTGTAAGGCGCATTAAAAAAATATAAATATATCTCAGACCGTTTTAGCACCGGAAATTGCAGTTGAAAAGGTTACAGATAACGAGGATAGAAGAAGCCCAACAGACCGAGACACTGTTTGCAACTTTTTAGTTGAGCAGGAATCGAAAGAAAAGCCATCGAAGAACTATTTCCAAGATTATTATTGCAGCCTCGCAGCACTCGCGAGTTGTGTGGCGAAACCACGTCCGGGCCAATCGCGTGAAAAATGAGAAAACGACATGACATAAAATCCCAACCCACCCAAAACTGTTTTTAATTTAAAGTGGGCTCTCACCTCTTAATTTAAAGACATCTGTTAGATCAGTTAGCAAACAAAAAAAATCAAAACAGTTGCCTCAGGCTGCTTTCACAGCGGTTATTCCTCACCAGGCGCGAAAATTCAGCTAGTAATGCGTTGGATTAAAACCAAATTTTCCGGTAGGAAAAAAAACAACTTTTCGGCTTACTAGCGCGAAAAGAGGAAGTTCGTGGGTGCATAGAAAGTTCTTAAATCTTACCAAAATAAATTATTGACGTGGAAGTTACAATTGTAGTTTGAAAGTCTCTTTGTGGTTGTTAACGGATAGAACGGACCGGTTAAGTTATTTAGTCAATTGAACAATCTAGTTCGGAAATGATCTTCCTGAGAAAAAAAACATTCTCACAAAGAATATAACTTTACTGTCAGAGAAGTGGTTTACACTGATTTTTAAAAGTTAACCTTGCATTCTCATCCTTTCATACTCAATAGAGCAACAAAAAGAGTATAAATTATATCCTAATTAAAGTATCGTTTGCATCTTCAGGTGAATACACAGTTACGATAATTCCAAATCTTTGTAAACTTTCATACGAGGCGGTTTTTTTTTAATACTATATATGATACAACCCCCCAAAATACCTATTTCCTTACAGACCAATATTAATCTACCGCATATTCCGGGTAATTCTCTGCCTTGGGTGTTACAATTTGGGCTTTCGGAATGCCGCCTTCAAAAAATTGTCCCAAGAAAAACAATTTTGTCCCTGGCCAAACAATGGGTAGTTTTTCTTTCACCTCAGGGGTTACCTGTAACAGGACACCTCGGATGAAAGCCCCTGTGGTATCACTTCTCATATGAGAACTTCTCATTTACACTTGACATGGTGAGAAAATGTCTCCTATAAATCATATAAAAGCAGGCAATTTGTGAAGACCTCGTTGGTTCGTCTCAAACTCAGAACGGAGAGAGATAATTTGTAGACTGCTTCAGCAACCTACGATTTTTCTACGATGGAGACCACACTATCGTCCCTGAGCGTTAACGGTCTTATTTTAATCCTGTAAGTCGTGATAATTTGGAAACGTCCTGTTTCAGAAAACATGCCACACGTGTTGCTAAATCCTAATATTCTCTAGACTGATAAAATCTCCGTATCTCTTCAGTCTGCCGTTTAGTTTCAGCACCAGTCCTGTTAAGAGAGGAAGACTTCTGTTCCCCATCTCGATTTGTCCAACAGACAAGTCCTTACCGGTAAGTAAAGATATTTAAACTCAGTAAAACAATATTATGTGAAAAGGGACCTTTCTCATTAGGTTTGTTATTTCAGATTGACGAGAGAATAGCATGCCATGTTGCAAAACAAAACGTTACTGACCACTACAGTACTCCCGTTGAGAGAATTGTTCAACTCTATTCAAGAGCCTCAACTGGTCATGTTCAAATTATGAAAACGGGACTAGATGCTCTGGGTCAGGACGGCTCAATCTACGGTAAGAGGATAAAGCATTACTTAGGTACTTGAGGATTAAACGGGAATTGTTGCTCAAATGCAAACTATCAAAGGTCTTGAAAGGTTCTCGTAGAATTTTTTCGCGTATCGTTTTCTTGAGATCAGTTTGCTTATGCTTTCAGAGAAAACATTAAAAAAATTTTTCAAAATAGCGCTACTCAACGGATATTACTCGCTATTGTATCTGGTAGAATTTCTTGGGATTCATATTTTGGATGTAGTTTCTAGATTAACATAAATATCGTGATAATAGTATTTCGTGATGGATGAAAGCAAACGATCATATGGGGACCATATGAAAAATCAGCGCTATTTGCGAGGGACACGCTAATAGCAATAAGCTCTCAATGTATTCCTTGATGTATTTACCTTGAAAATTTTTCTCCATAAGCGTTGCATTTAGGAAGGTATCTCGTCTTAAATGATCATTTTTGTGGCTCGTCACTTTTAATTGTAAATATAATTTCTACACGTAAAGGCGATAACCTTTCCGTTTCCGTTCTTAGTTCTTTTGAATAAATCGTTTTTTAGAACAACCATCGTAAGTCAGCAGTATAAGACTGACTGATTTTTAGACATTAAAGCTTCAATTTTTTTCTAGTGAGATGAAGTGAGAGAAGCTTTGAGAAACTGGCGAGAGTCAGTTGCCATCGCCGGCTACAAGCTAAATTCGTGGTTTTAGGGCTGGGTCGTAGCGCCACAGGAATCGGAACTAAATGGGCCGCAAATGCTCTATACTTTACTCTCTGTTCGTTTCGCAGTTTTTGGCCTTTCATGACAAAATCCGGTGATTTATTCATTTAAAATTACCCACAGGGATTTTGTGGCTTTGGCGCGGGATGAAAGAATAAAATGGCACAATTTTTCGACTGAACTTCTCAGCAGACGATGCGTTCATCAAAGGCGGTGAAAGCTTGATAGCAATGACGCGACGTAATATTCATTTTCCGCGTGTTTCGATCACAAAATTAAGCGAAACTGGAAAAAAAATCATACAAGCAGGAATGCCACAATTTATCATTTCCTACGTTATGTTGGCCCTTGGTTCATACTCTCTTAAGGTTATTTAATTATTTACGTCCGTAATAACGTAAATTAGCAAATGTGATTGTCCAAGATCTGTTTTTTGGAAAGTAAACTATCTAACAGTGTTTTAGTATAAAATTTCCTCGCTGATGAGTAGTGCCGTTATCATTGTTTTTTCAGCTTGTAGCTTCGCTAATTGTCCCGCGTAATGGAACATGTGAGATGTTATTTTTGTGGGTTTAGTGTATTAAAAATTCTTTTTAGCCTTGACATTATTTTCTAATTTGGTGGGTCAATGCGTCGTGAGACAGGTTGCGTTGATTAGCGGTAGTTTGGTCGGCTTTATTTGATACTTGAAGTAGAGATACAAAACAGCTTTGCAACTGGCATGGTGCCTCTAACAATTACTGAACTTGGAAGTATCCGCTAATTTTTGCTTGATTGACATTACCCTGAAAAGAGTGGGTCATAAATTGCCATCCTAGAGCTAATAATAAACAATTACAAAATGGAGTTTAAGGGTAGGACTTGAAAAATTCAGCCTTTCAAATCATCTTTTCCGATGTAAATGCTTTATCAAATCATTAAAGCTTCGTGTTTGCGGGATAAGTCAACCATTCCTAATTTTCTGCGTAAGTTAGAGGAAATTCAGTAGATCGCTAAGTACCGACGTTACTATTTGTGTGGATAATGAGAGAGTTAACAGTCAGTTGCCGTTATTATTACGGTAGGTCAGACCGTAAGAATAAGGATAAGCAATGAAGAGGGCGGAAAAATAACAAAAATATCGAACACTTATCTTGTTGATGATTCTGTTGGTGATTTTTACAAGGCTCTTCTCTCTGTTTGTGTTTCATTCTCATTTCCTGTTTTTGCTCACGTTTTCATGATATTCTTTACCTGCTGTGCTAACAAAGCTCTGGCAGAATTGGTTTCAAAAAAGCATAAAGACAAAGCCAAATCCAGTTGCAAAGGTTTTGTTTGTAAACATCGGCCTAAGGACACAAAGGAGCGGAATTGGTTCGGTAGGGTTGAGAAGATTTCCAGATATTTCACCGCCCCCCCCCTCCCCCCTCCAATTTTAGTGCCGCTTTTTTCGATAAAATATGTGGAACATGTCATGACATTTGCTCAGTACTTCTTCGCTTCTTCGCAGAGTTAGTTGTCACCTTCTTGTATTCAGCATTTTTGACGAAATCAAACGGCGGGGTCTTTAAACCATTGAAATTTCTTCGTTCAGTGAGACGCCATGTTTCTCATGGGTTTTTAATTTTGTTGGCGAAGTTTGAAGTTACTCACCTCTGTGACAAAATGTAAACTACACCTCGACTGGATGTCTGATATCCATATCGATCAGAAACGAAGCTTTTGTCTTTTTTTATCTTTTTTGCATACTTTTTTTGCAACGTTTTTATTTCATCACATAACTTTAACAATTCACCATATTGCAAGAAAACTTTTCGGTAGTTCGTGCAGTGAATTACTCATTCTTTGAGTTTTCCGGGAAGAACTTTTTTCTGGTTCGAGATGGCTGTAAATCTCTGTCAGGAACTAACTTTTAAAATCACCTATTCATAATAATTAACAAGAATAAAAAGTTTTTTTTTTTCAGCTTTACAGAAGGAAGCGATACACATTATTTCTTATGTGGGAAATTGTGTTTCGTGCTATTCATGTACAGTTATTTGTTGTTAGTCTAATTGTTCCGCAGTTTTTTCTGAGATGTGTTCCTGTGAATTGGCCGCAGAAACTACCTTTGATTAAAACAAAGTGAATATCTGCTTGGCCACCGAAACTTCTTCCGTTTTCTCAATCTGCCAGTTACTTCTCTGGACGAATTTTTGATACTAATGCAGAGCTAGTTCCAGCATTTTCGTGTAACTGTTCAATCAACATCGACTGATTGGTGCAAGCTTTTTCCAGTTGGCATTCTGAATGCAATGTTAAAAACAGTGTGAGAGCTATTTTTGGGCCATATGTTTCGTCCTTAAAGTAAGTGTTTGACACATACTTGAAGGAAAACTACTTCCTCAGTTATCGTTAGCTATATCGTTACTATCAGAGTCTTATTGGCTGGTGGCAATCAACAGTTGAGTTCTTGAGTCTTACCAAACGCTGAATCAATTTTGCAAGTTGCGGATAGAATGGTAGATGTTTAGTGTCTTTCCTATAGTTGAAGACTTTCCTCATTTAAGGATTTCCCCTAGCCGACCGCACAGTCAGACAGAATGTGAAAACTCCCAGTAAACTGGAGCCATCTTGTTGAGTCGAACTTGAAAAGCGTTGTGATTTGTATATTGAGCAATTATGATGAAAACAATGATTCTCCTTGTCAAAAGTAAGCATGTTATGAGTCCACTACAAGGTCTCGCTCCTTCCCTAAGCTGCTCGAGAGATATAATATCTTGACGCATATCTTTATTTAATTATGTTACAGCCCCGTTTTCTTCACGTTTGTTTTTGAAGCCCTCATGTTATTATTCATTTGTTCACTATAGCGAGACTGGTGCTGGAGTCCGACAACTTTGGACGGATAAAGATCAAAAGGGAGAAAACAAACCGCTACATCTGCCTGAGTAAAAAAGGAGATCTCGTCACCAGGGTGAGGCTTGATTCGTTTATAACCTTTGCTCTATTTCATTGCGCTAGTGTTGTTACCATTCGACAATGAATATGCAACTGAGAAACATAATAAGTATCGTTCTCGGTCTCTACTGATTGTAATATTTTTGAACGAATTTACTTAGTGTCATGACTTTTTTCCGTCATTTTATTTATCAGTTCATTGTGTTGATCAGCCTTATTAAAGTTAGATACCGGGGTATACTGACGGCCGAATCGGTTTTTGGACTAAAATACTGACGAGAAGGAGAAAATGGATATTAGTTACTTAGTTTCACAGGGACTGTTACATGGAAGAGTAATATATACAATCGAGCGATAAATTCATGGACTCGAAAGTTTACGAAATCCTTTCAATTGCTATACCCAACGCTCGGAAGAAATTTGGAAGCCTGATAAAGACAAGGACTTTCGTTTCGGTTTCAAACAAAAAAAACTTTATTAAGGGTATACTTTTTTCAAGAAATTCCTCCAACATTAGTGAAGAACGCTAGATTTTCGTCTAAAATGAAATATCAAAGCAAAATATGTTCATTCTCTCTTTTTTTGTAATAATGTTTAAACAACAGTTACATTGACTGTGATAACTCTTTTTCCCTAGATAGCAATCTCAGATCTTCTCAGCGAATTATCAACGACAAGCACTCATTTAAGGTCTTATTCTAATAACATTCTCTGTAGTACTCTGGTGAAGTTGTTCACTCCTTCTTTGTCACTAGTAAGGGCAATCTTCAGTAAATATAACTGTCCAACATTTAAAATTCAGCGTAGCATTTTTGCATTTCAGATCTGAGAAGGTTTTAATTCTTTGTTTCGTCAACGATTTGCTTGAAAACTGCGGGTTTTTACAAGGTTCAGTTTAGCCGAATTCCGCTTAAACCGAAAAAAAACCATTTTAACGCCTTTTTCGCACTCGAAATCGACATGAAATGTTCAGTGTGAACTATTAGAGCGAGAATTGAGACGCCTCGATTGTGCTCTGATTTTTCCTTGTGGGTCACGTGACTACATACACTGATATCTACCTCCTGCATGCATTACAGTAGTTAAGAGCACCGTCTAGGTTTCTTCAATCGTTAATCAAAATACTGTGAGATCGGATTATTTCTCAGTGCTTTGTCTTTTGTGTATTGTAGCTGTTTATTGAACTGCCCGGAAACAACTTTTTCAGGTGATTTTTGCCCACAGTAAACCCACGCACGTTTATTGCTCTTTTTCTTTTCATTTCGTACGATTAAAACTTCGTATTTTGCACAAAGGAAATACATTGATTCAAGAATACTAAGAGAAGATGAAGAACAAAACGACAGGGCCATGCTGACATCTTATTACTAGAGGTTAAAGTAGGCCAGGAACGTCCACGCTATTTTAGTTTTTAGCGAGGCTGAGAAAAAGAGATACTTCGGTGTATTTCATAAATGAACTCATTCTACTCTTGCAACCTAGATTGCGCAGCATGCACCAGGTATACCCCTCTTTTTTTAAGTGATTAAAGTACGACTCAGGCTCAGTTTTACCATGTATTTTCATTTTTCCCTCGCATATTTAGGGTAGAGTTTAAAACATCAAGATTATGTTGTAGTTTTAGATCAACCAATAGAAATATTTAAACACTCGACCAAGTCCAATCATCCAATGGCCATTGTTCGTTACGTGTATGGAAACTTTTACTGCTGTAATGATTGTTAAATTTAGTGTAAGTGGAAAACAAGCTGAGCGCACTATCAATTTTTTCCCAGATCGATATCGTAGAAGTTTAAGTACAATTTAGATAAATAAATCAATACGAAAGCTAATCTAAGCGAGTAACCGAGATATCGTGCATTGTTACACTACTAAAATTCGTTTCTAAAGTAGTAAAGTACAGCTCTGTAGAGAGGTAATATAGCACCCGAGTCTAGAAGCGCAAACCTTTGCATCACCTTTCGCGCGTGAAACACGATCTAGAAATGCCTGGGACGTCATTGCACATGTTCCAGGCGGGAGATTTCATCACGAACTTAACATTTTTTTGGCGCTGGAAATATTTCTGGAAGAATACAATGGATTCCTCCATTTCTCTGCACGGGATGCTATTCATGTTATGTATACCACAGCCAAAATGTTCTCCCACGGAGTTGAGCGTACGTCACGCTGCGCGGTAAGATGTACCTCACGAAGGGTCCAAGGTTTTGTGAAAACAATATGGTGATGTGTTACTCTTATCGACAATACATGAGGCAGCCTTTTGTACTTTTCACAAAAACCCTTCATATTACTGATAGAAATTAAATGAAAGCTTAACTACAACGTGATGACCATTCTCAAGTCTGGTTTAACTGATGCTCAATCTTTTCAATTAAATCATTTTTAATCGCACACGGTTTTGTTTTTTTTTTTCTATTTCGCGACTATGTTTGGCAGAGGGCGCACCAACTTTAGATTGGAGTCCAATAAAAATCAAAAGCACGTTTATTGAAACACCAGTCCTCTCTTTAATCTTTTAGTTGGGATAAAAACTCGCAAAAAGCAGCTGGAAACAATGGTTGAAGGGAAAATTGACCAAAGTAATAGACAAACAAACAAACATAGTGTGTTCAATGACTTTAATAATTGGTTAAAGACCCGTTTGTGATGCTTAACTTGTCTGAAGCAACCATATTTTATTATTTTGGATTTTAAACGATCAGTAATATAACGTCTGTTGCCCTGTCCATTAATTGTCTCTGGCTGCCGGACTCACAAAATAGTTCACAGCTTACCGCTGGCAATCATTCATTATGATCTATCACATCAAGACATCACGCGAAACATGTCTGAACTGTATAGAGACTTACAAGCTTACTTGTACCTGCTGCAAAAATGAGGATTCAATAAGTTAGTAAAGGTCAAACTGGAGTATTTCGTTGTACATTGACCAGTCATTGTTGTTGGTCTTCTAATGTCGTGTTGCTACCTAATTCCTCGATGTCTACCTTCGTAGGGGTTCAGTCTTTGACTAAATCATTAATTACTACCTTGTTTGTCCTCAAAGTTGCGGTGTGAAACTAATTATACCACCAAGAATAATTTCTGTCAACGGGTATTGGAAGTTGAAAGTACAATATCGTTGCAATGTTTAGCCAATTTGCACTCAAAAACACCGTTTCAGATAAAACTAATTGACTGAAGATGGAGATTTTTTTCTGTGGCGTCCTTTATTTCTACTGCACTCTATGTCAAAAGACTAATGTCGTCGAGAAAAACTGATGAAAAACGAAAGAAAATATGAATTAGAACCCGGCTAGATCGAATTAGAATATTCAACTGCAATTGACTCTGCTGCTTTACTCTGAACTTACAGCCGCAAGAACCCAACGTTCAGACTCCTTCAAGTAATCCCATATATCAAGCAAAGCACCTAAATAAAACAGTTATCTCGAAGCTAATAATTTCCACGATTTATGTTTATAATCAGTATTCACACCTTGTTTGAATCAAAATCCGACAAACGCTCGACTAAGTCTTTTGCAAATCTGTACCTGGCCGATAACAAAATCCACCCCACACACCAAGCGGTGATAATTATCAAATTTCGTTTCTAGATATCCTAGTGAAGCTGTAAAAGTTGGTTACCAGGGTTAATCGGTTGTCGTCACATTTGCTATTTTCAGAATTTCGTGAGTACTGCCTCCTCCAAATGTTGATTAACTTACTGTATTACAATGGCATGCGATGCTGGGAACCTTCCATGAGCGAGCACGCTATCAGTGGCGCAACATGTGGGAATATTTGTATTGATTATTATTGAATATTGGTAGTGTGCAGTAAATATCTAGAGGTGTTTACATGTGCTTAAGTAAGAGCGGCAAGTTGATTGGCTGAGCTACCGGACACCGTGAGCCTCTTTCTCAGATAAGCCATTGCCTTATAATGAATTCCTAAAGCTTCTACTTCAGCACACTTCTATAATACCATATCAGAAGTGATAGTTATTTCAAACTTCAGCCCTGTCAACTATGACCTACTTTTGTAAGAGCAAAGAATATAAGAGTATCGCAACATAAGATTAGAACCCTTGAGCAGTTGTGTCCTTACCCTAGATGATAATTATTCCGGCCCTGGTCACAGGGCAGAGTCTTCGGTTAAATCGACGACCAAACAACCGTTTTTAGAGAACATAATTCGTTAGGAAATTTGGTGTGTCATAGTTGTCTCCTTCTTACATGTCTCTTTCATAACTTGAAAGTAATCTCGATTCCCCACCGGCTTAAACTTAAATTACCATCCCATTCCAACTTTACCCAAGATATGATGTTATTGTCTTAATTAAAGGGTAAAAATGGCGGAAGAATATCTCCACATTACTTTGGGAAAAATTTATATTCAGCATTTCGCGTGTAACTCACCTTCCTGCTGTTACTTGGTTAATTAAATCAGCAGAAAGGCATTTCTTCCCGAACGACTTGAACTGAGAAAAATTTGCAGAGTGTGAATAACTACGAGCCATGACAATCTGCTTTGCAAGCTCTGGTTAAGTGGGTCATTCTTTTCTCACCTTCCTCTCAAAGAGGAAACACAGTTTATTCTAGAAATTAGTCCAAGAGGGCCCCCTTCTTTAATTTTAGGGGGGGTCCTTTATCAAGAGTGGGGTCCAAAAGATGGGGGTGGCCAAAAGGTGTTTGAACTTATTTGTATAGTCTGGTCAATAAGGAAACGAAGAAGAGAAAGACAATAGAAACAGCAAGAGGCTACAAAAGTTCGAAGTGGCGATGGTTACTGTCAGATCAATCTTGTTACCATAAGACCTGCAGATACTTTAAAATAACAATAATTAAAAAAACACAAAACGAAACAGAAACAAACAAAAATAGCATTTAATATGTACTTATCCTTGTGCACAACTTTTTGGGCACAACTTAATTAATTATTTGTTTTAATAATGTGTTGTTTCACCGTGAATTGTCCAGGTGAAGAAGCAAAAGTTTGCCGCAATGAGAAGATGCATTTTCAATGAGGAGATGACAAGCGATGGTTACTTTCAGTACAAATCAGTCAAGTATCCACAATGGTACATCGGTTTCTCCAAAGGAGGACGCCCTAGGCACGGAAGTAGGAGTGCCAAGCGAGCAATATACCGCCATTTTACAATAAGAAACACACCAGACAGAAGACACACCAGGAGAGTGGCCAGAATTAAAAGAATTATCATCAAGTGGCTCAGAAAGAGGTTAAGGAGGGCTTAATCTTTTAACTCCCAAGGTCTGATAAGCAATTCTTTCTTTTGGCTGTTATACATCTTCTTTTGAAATAGTTCAGAGAATCTGGTATCATGTTACCCTAACACCATCTGGTGGAAACGTTTGTCTATTCTCATCGTCTGTTTGATGGATAATTTATTGATACTTAAAGGAGAAACTATATCTTAACTACTTCTGTGAGCTCTGAGGGTACCAGTAATGCTCAACCTGGAGCAAACAAAGCATGTACATGCTCAAGACATTACCAAAACCGATGGAGAACAACTTCGTTTGGAACGAAGGGAAAATTGAAGTGAATCAATTTCGCGTGTAATCGAGTTCAGCTCTGTAAAGGGTAGTACTTTTGACAGTTTGATAGCGTGACTCATGGTGTAAGATTAATTGTAGGACTCTTTAAAGACGGAGATTCTTGAGCTCTTCTCGAAAGACTTATGTAGTTAGTATGACCATAATCATCACGGAAAACGGCTTACACCAGTGTTACTTTAAGTCTTTTATAATCTTAAAAGGAGATAGTGTAGGAATAATGTACATAATTATACCTTTTGAATTACTTTTGAGAATATTCACGGTAATATTTTTGACTGTGGAAAGGCAAAATTAAGGAATACGAGATGAACGTTCTAGACCGATGTTGACCCTGAAACGTGTCCGTTTGGTTGATTGTAATTACCCTTTCATACCTAAGAGGTAATTTATGATATTATGATAACCCAGGAAAGTTCTAGACCGAAGTTCCAATCGAAACATTGAGGTTCGCTCGCGCTAAAACGTATCAGAATGCTTTTGAAGAATTTTTTTTGTTTCTTTTCACCCAAACTTGTCAGTGATAATGGGGGGAAATCTGACGTTTGAAAAATATTTAATCTCTGTCAAGGTATTTATGTTTTTTTTTTTTCTTTTAAGTGAAATAGCAGTTTAGGTAAAGTTTAAAGATGCGTCAGTTTAATGAGTGATTGCTCCATGTTAATGCTTCTTCGAAGCTGTAGTCAAGATCAACTATTACAAAAACAGAAGAGCTAACTACATTTAAAGGAAAATGGTGGTAATGTGTCGATGAAGTTAAATCATGCAAACAAAGGGCTCAATGTTGCTAGTCCCATTTATTTTAACGAGGCGGTTAGCCTTCAAGCACCATGCAGTTATATATTAGAAAACTCGCAATTTCGGTGTTGTCAGCGGTATGAGAAAGCAAACGGAAACTCTTATCTGTAATTAGTCCTTGAGTCCATATGGAGTGCTTTTTAGAATCTACCTAGCAAAATGAGACGCAGTATTCGTATGATCAACAAACTGAGGACCCTTACGCCAGAGCGTAAACTTGATAGAAAAGAGCGTTTCAGTCATCGCTTTTCATTGGGCCATTCCTTAATTCAACGCGCCTACTAAGTCCAAGGCTACAAAATTTAGAGAAGAGTGAAGCTGGTTTTTGATCATAAGAAACTTATGAAGTCGTCCAGATTTACCTGTGCTTCAAATGTAATATGATGTCTATCACTTTTTTGGGTTTCATCCAAATCTCGTAAATCACTGTTCATGTAAGCCGTGTCACGTGACGTCTCGATATGATAATGAAACCAGGCGTACCCATGACACGGCACGTGAAATCTAAGGCCTAAAAGCTGAATTATTGGCGCACCGACTGCTCATTTCTCTTCAGGTCTTTGAGATTGTGTGGGGAACCCCAGCTTCTGCAGCCGCTACCCCAGGTTACACTGCACGCATCTCTTTCCGTTGGCGGCCAAGGCAGAGAGCAGAAGCGGCAACCCAATACAGTCCAGTGCCTGTCTTTATTTCATTTCGAAAATACGAAGCTGTAAAGATTATCGTGTAAATATAAAGTCATTGTTGTAAACATGACACTTCAATATCTCAGTAGTTCGGTGAACTTAAGTGCCTGAGTGCTGTGAAGACGGAATGTGACTAGAACCAATACTGATAGGCTCTCAGTACAAAGGATAACAAGAAAATTCATTAAATCAGTGTAGTAAATATGTTTTAAATCGGTCGTTTCTGTGAAGGAAGTAAATTACCATTACTCTAAACATCTTCTTTAAGGCTGATTTTGACCTGTTTAGGTTCTCCTTGATTCCTAACTAGCTACCAGCATGATTGTGATCAAAGCCCATGAAATTACTTTCATAGGAATCTGTTTACTGCTCCTAGGGTGTTTTTACTCTTATAACATTCGGGCTACAACAGAGAAACATACTCTAATTTGGCGTGATCGAGGAAAGTCGAACCAATACACTGATAGTCTTGTTCAAAATTTTACTGTTAAACTTTTTCGCTACTGAGAACGTCTACAATATTCAATTATGCCCAGAAAATCTGGCACAGATACTTGAGATCGAAATTGTTATCTGCTGTATCTGACAAAGGTATATCCGGGTCAATGATTTCAATAACCTTGTTTCCGTTGCTTTCATACTCGCCGCCACATCACGTGTTTAAAATCTGGTGAGAGGGAAATATCATAACTCATCGGGTACAATCATGGCCATGTTGTTTGGCTGCTTATCAAGGGGAGAAAAGTAAAGACATTGACTGATTCCGCCTGTTTTCTCCTCAAGTTGAGTTCGATGACGATATCCTGTTCCAGGAGTACCCTGATTATCACTAAGAAAGGCTTTCTTTGCGTTGTGGTACTTGAGTGTGTCACACTGTTTCTGTCCTTTTTCTTGTTTTACAGTTTTGATCAGTTCTTTGATTTAATTGTTTTATTGCGCAACAAGACCGGAAATTATTTCTAGGTATAGTTTGACTACACAACAGGAACAGAGGTTAGATGTCAGGCTTTGTAAGGCCGCAAAATCAAGATCAGGCGTCTCGTTAATTTCATTAGATAATGAATTTCCTATCGCTAAGACTATTTACCGGAGTTTTGCGAGAGAACGGGAATTTATCAAGGTTAATGTGTGATTGCACATAGTGTCAAAACAAAGCAACGACTGTTACGTTTGGTTTCCGGAGCTGATTTTGTCTTTCCGCCAGCGGATATGCACCCTTAAGATAAATAAATTAGTACTAAAGATTAAAAAATTCTTGTGATGAATTTTTAGGGAAGCCATCGAAGTATGTGGAAAATGACACACTTGTCAGAAATGAACACTGACACGTTAGCATGTGGAATGAACATAACTGACTGAGTAGGATCTGCTTAGTGGTTATCAGAATATCTGGAAAAAAGTGAGAAACGGTAAGATTCACGATAACAAAAACGAATCGTTTTGTCGCAGTTTCCCGATCGCGGCTGGTTCTCTGTTCTCTGAATTTAGCCGAGAAAAAAATCCTTTGAGGCAAAATTAAAACCAATAGGAAAAAAAGCAAAGCGTGAAGCAGCAGCATTTGTAAAAATATTAACAAGGTATTTTTCCAAAAACTAATTTAATGTCATTACCAAAACAGCGAGATCGGATGCTCTTAACAGAAATGACAGAATCTTAGTAAAGTTAGTGAAGATTTTAGATAACAATTAGGTCCAATGTTATCAAACTTCCTCAGGAATTGAAAAGTCTTGGCTAATTTGTCCATCTTGTGGGTAGCGAGCAATAAACTATTTCCTGCTAATTGTTTATTAAACGGAAAATGACTCGCCAATTCTATTATTGTCTATGAGCCTTTTTTTCGCGCCGCGTGGGCAATACTAACGGGAAGTATACTTATTGGTCATCGTCTTCAAACAAGACTGAAATGTTGCTGACGTAATCCAAAATTACAATTATGAAATTAAAGAACGTTTCCAATCATTTTGCAAAATAATGTTTTCTCCTAGTTCACAAATTTTGGGCCGATTTTTCTCCTTTGACGCTAGCTCTTTTGATGTGCGAAAAAAATTAGTTCAGTGCTCGACGCAATTGCTTATGACGTTTTAAGGACAGGTGCTTTAGCGAGCAGGCTCACGCCAAGGATGTAAATACAGCAAGATAGCTTTTTCACGCAGTTTGAATCAAGGATTTCTATTTCTATGCACAAGATGTGAATCTTGCAATTGTTCAGTATCATTGCTATAATAAAAGAAGGGAGACAAATTTGAAAATGATGACAATGTTTTGCTTTTTTTGTTAAAAAATATTGATAATTCTTAGTAATCACAGCTAAACCGGAAAGCGACAGGATCATTAAAAGATTCCTAAACCAACTCCTCGATGAACTCACGGAAAATCGTTTTTTGTCGTGTGTGTATCAACACCGAGCGCAAACTGACTGCGCTTTTGTTTGAACATACAAATTACAATGCAAATTCTATCAACTGAAGAATATCAAAATTTCTACAGCTCTATGTAAGTGTAATTAAAACGAGGTACAACGTCATAACGAGAGAAAAATCCGCCGAATGTCAACGTTAATACAAACTTGTCCGGCATATTGTTCCTAGTTTGGTGTTCTGACTCAAGCCAAACGGGAGGAAAACTCAGGGTAATTAGGCAAATCAATCATCATTTTTTGTCCTTCATTCGGCATTGTGTACCATGAACACATGTGTCATAAAATATGGATCGATGAAAAACCGCAAATCACGATAACTTTAAGTAGTATTTCGAACGAAACGAAGAGCTTACGTTCTTGCGTAATGTATACACTTCTATCAGTCCTTACTCAATTTTCTCCTTGTTCTTAAAATTTGACAGTTGTGAGAGAAATTCTAACCACGATTAATCGGTTTATAAGCCACGAATTTGTTTAGTCACAAGTCGTCTCAAAGGCAATCACTTTAGTTTCAAACCAATTTTAAGCGAAAGTTTATAAGACTTGTTTAGCTCTTTGCGACAAAGAAATCACTTGAATAGCGATAACAAACATTTACACTTGGGCAGAGTTATTAATTGAAAGTGAGCTGAAGGACTGACCGCGCGGTGGACAAATCATCAACTTTTGAAATAAAATACTTGACTGCTCATCGTCTCATTAGAGCATTAGAAGGCGGGTTGAGTTTGCGAACCGAAAGCCTTAGCTTCTCAAAAAGAAAATCCATCTTGCTAAAACCAAGGTCATGATCTTTTGTCACATGTATTCAGTCAAGAACATCAGCCGCACTGTTATCGGTGCTTACAGGAATCTGTCAGGTTGTAGTTAGATCACGTCTCTTTACAATTTTTAAATGTAAAAGAGACACACTAATTCTCTGGAGTTGTATATTGAAAGAAAATATCTAACTGAGAAACTGACCCAAATCACCTCGAAATCCGTCATAACAAGAGGTATCCTTTCATAAGCTTTCACATGCTGCGGGTCCTTTCCAAAGATTCAAATAACTTCCTAAATATTGATATTACTACTCGTAGTTTGCCATCGTAGCCCGTCGATACTGCTTTAAATGTAAATTCTGACCTTGCATATGTAAACTGTGGATTCGAAAAATGCAGAATATCGTTAGAAGAATAATAAAATCCGTCTCTCGGGAGCAAATGTTAGAGACATGTATACTCCCGGGGATACCAACCTTATAAACGGATCTACCAACTGTACAAGAATTTTTTAATTTTTTAACTAAAAAAAAATTCATGTACATAGTTTTCAGTTATGAAATTAGTGTCTATGTCTTTCTCATTAGGGAAGATTCCACAGATAGGCCCCTGAGCGAGCAACAGGAAAACGCTTTCCTCACGTGAAAACATCAGTTCGGCTTCCAGGGCAATGCCTTTCACAACAGAAGCTAAATGGCATTAATTTTTCCCTCGAGAGCTTCGCGTAATTACACGGCGACCACTATAATAATTATTAACAGAGGGCCTCCTTTGAACAAATTTGATATTTACAAGGAAGGTATAAATAAGGCATATGAATTTGATAGACAAATTTCAATTCGAGGGCTCGATACGACCCCGCTTAGCTAAAATTATAAATTATTCTTGGCCTGCACCAATGCGGCACAGTTAGACAGGATCTTTGGGTCTTCTTTGCCAATTCATGTCTTTCCTCTGTCTTTTATAACAAAAACACATCTCAGAACATCCTTTCAGCGGTAAATAGCAAAAAAGACACGGCAGAAATAAAGAGCAAGCCGCCAAGCAACCCCATCTTCCGAAACAAGATTTACTTGGGGGACCACACGAGCACGGGTGCTCTGCCAAACTGCCTTCATCAAACGAATCCTTCGAACAATGATACAACACCGCTTTGACCCCGCACATACAACTTGCATAGTCTATTAACACGTCCACGTCCCGGTTACAGCAAAAAATTTTGACATCTTCATCTTCATAATGTTTGCTTTGGAGTACATTACTACTTCGACAAGTCGATCGTGATATTTGCGCCGATGCTGCCCGTAATGTGGGTCTCGGCTGTGAAGTTACAACCTGCGTCTGTGTATTTCGTATAGTTCCTCCCGTGTGCCTCCTAACAAATGCATTGAACGTTCGGTTAGTGGCGGGAGTCGATAAACTTAACCGCATGTCACGATCCGCTACTAAGATCGGCTGACGAGGTGTAGTGCTCGTCTCTCGCTTCGTGGCCGCTGCGATAACACAATAGTCAGAGTGATATTCATCTTTACTCACAATCGTCTCAACTTTTCCAACAGTGTTGTGTGGTCGTATCCGATGTTTTGAGTCGTATTCCACACTCCTTTTCTCCCAAACAATGGTCTTTTCCAAAGGGTTCTCGTGTATAGTTATGGCTGTCTCTACCGCCATCAAACATTGATCGCCATTCAAACAGACCTCATGCAAAACGCTGTAGATTAATTTCGCCGGGATCAGGCGTCTTCAGGTTCACCTCGACCCAGCGAGTGAATTCCGAACGCCATCATAAGGCCACAGCAAACGGGAGAACTACAGGCGACCTGAAAAATTAAACCCAAAGTACGTTGACCAAATGAAAACCCTTGGGACCTAAATGAACATGAATAAAGCTTTCATCAATTAACATTACGTTAATCAAAACACGGGTTTATATATAGTATCAGAATGCTAGAGGTTGAAGGGCATACAGCTGGAGTTGTAACAGAAAAGTGATATTCATTTTCCCATACCTACACCGACGTTAGCAGTTATACAGGCACCTAATTCAAAATGCTCACAACAAATCGTTCTCGAATGCCCAGTGTAATCAAACAAAAGTTCCGTGTTGAGAATGCACTGCCAGCGCAGGAAATGGAGGAATGTTTCCGGCAGTAGTCGGGACTCTTACTGATCGCGACATTGGTCAGTAAACTTATCCATTCAGAAAGCAAATAAACCCAACACACGTTACACTCCAGCGCGTTCGGGCGACTAACCAGTGATTGAGAACTCTACACGAAGCAGCGCGCGCGGTTTGCGAGTACTTGATAACTAACTTTAACAACAGCTCACGCGTGGAGCACTCGAATGAGTTCAGTATTCACATCGCTGCCTTGAGCTACAAACAGAAAAACGAAAATTTCACCGCCCACGAACTATTGTGATTTGTGACGTCATGCATCCGCCCCTTTTGAATCGATTGCTTAGCAAGACATTTGCTTTTCAATCTATCGTGTGCGCGTGGCAATCAAATAAAAACAGAAGATCTGTCGATAAACTGTGTATCTTTACATTTCTGCAAACTTCCTTCCGACATGGGGAAACAGCGTTAGAAAAATTTTCGCACATCAATGGAAGGCCTGTTTATCTGTTTATTAAAATGCCATATTGCTTGCTGAAGACAGTCTCACTCAATGTGACTTCCGGTTTTATTCTGGTTAGAACAAAGGCAACAGACAAAGGGTTCGTTCGTATGTCTTTTCATTTACATAATGAACCTTCTAAACATTTCATAGAATGAACTCAAAATCCTAGGAGGTTTGTCATTTCTTGCCTTCTGATCGTTGCGTCGCACTTTGCTCCAGAATTCTTGGTTTCTTGCAGTATTCGGTTGGAGCGCTTGTGACCTCGTGTTTTCCTGGTAACTGTCAACTCCTTGAAACAATTCTCTTGCTCTAATTTTCGGCCCAAGATTGACAGCGCGAGTAGTTTGTATATTTGTTCTTGTTTCTTTGCTTTGATAAGCGCGCGTTAGGGAAACTACAGGATTGGATCCAGGCTATAAAGACACTTGATATCGATGTAAGTGATGGCTTAGAGTTTCATGGGGTTCATGTCACCCTTATAAAGGAGACCGAAAATTGGGTCAACCACTATGCCATCAAACCCATCACTTCCGATACCAGTTTCCGATCTAGTGTGATGCGATTTAAGATGACAAACAAATCTGCCCAGAAACCAGCAAGTACTCGGGAATGGTGGCTTAGAAAGAAATAGAAAAATCAAACACGTCAACTCTCGATCAATTTAATTATCTGCCGAAACGCTTTTAGCGTATGCAGATGGAAAGAGACCGCCATTTCGAGTCCGGTAACCCAACACTTGAAAGTGGCGTATTGGCCTGGAGGGGTGTTTGAATATTGGATGCCGTTATAAATCTGCTCTAAGGCCAGCGATTGCGGTAGCGTTGAAATCTTAAATATGTGGCAGTTTTTGATCCGAAGTCTTGAAAATGAATCTTCTGTTTAAAAGTGTCCAGTTATTTACCGACGTTTTCAAACAACTAAACCAAAATGATATTGCTCGACTTCATGAGAAAAAAAGAACAATATACACAATTGCTTCTCCATAAACAATATAGTTTCCGGTCGTCAGTTATCTTGCTTTTTTCCAGTAGGTTCGCTAAAATATTTGTTTTCTAACACCTAAGTCGCCGATGCTATTTCCTAACAGCGATAGAAGATTTCTTTAATACATTTAAAATTGCGAAGGTCCATCTCTATTATGCCTTTCGAAAAAGCCAAGCAAAGAATCAAACGCATCTTTCTTCTTGTTTTTTGCACTTCAAAAGGTACCGAAAGTGCCAAGATGTAATTATGGCTCAAGAAGAGTGTTAACGTCTTTGTTAGGGGTTTCCTGCTTTGTCCATAGCCCTATTTTCCATCAAAACAAACACCTGCTAGGGGCTTCGTGACGTTGAATTAACGCCAGCAATCCCTCTGCTAATTTTCTGCGTCTCAGAGGAACGCGACAGCGCAGGAATGCCTATTTGTGTACACAACCAAATTAAATGCACCCCACCAAATGCGACAGAACTTGATTCAGCAAACATAGGGGGCTTTTATGAATCAACTGGGATGACAGTTTGGATAAGTAGTAATTTTAGAGCCGCGGGGAGCGCAAAAGAATAATTGTTTGTGCGTGATACAACCGCAACCGGCGGTCAAGGACATGCAAATTTCATTTGCGCTATTTTGGGAACGGTGCACACACAGGGTACCCAAGTATGGAGTAACCAGTCTAAAAGGAAAATGCTAACGTCTTTAGGAAAAAAATACTTAACGTTTTTTTTTTTAACAATTTTTTTCTTGTTATATATGAATATCTCTTTGTGTTGACAATAGTATCACAATGATTATGTTTAGTTTTAGGCCGCTGATATCAGAGAAGTTGGGTCGTACCGGACGAAATATAAAAAGAAAAGTATATATGTAATATATATGCATTTTGTTTTAATCATTGATTTTTTTATCAAGCTGGGTGTTCGTTTGAAAGACTTCTGTTAACGGTATTCTTTCTCGCCTCACTTTTCTTTTTGTGATATTGGTACTCGCCCTGACACTGTGAAACCTTTGCTGACTCCCCCTTGTGCTTTAGGGATAAATTATTATTTTGATTTCTCAGATGACAGCTTGAAGTACATTGTCGTGGTAGAGTTGTTCATTCGGGGAAACTTATTGGTGAAAGGTCATTCTTGTCTTACTGCGCGAAACATCTATTACGGGTGTGTACGTGCCATATATCGATACAACTTGTTGATAGAAAAATAAATTGGATTATCAAAAAAAGGAAAAAAATTCCTCAACAAAGCACACCTTGAGTGTGTGATGGGGGTTCGAAGTCAAGTTGTCTATGAGGGCAAGGGAATAAAGGGGGTAACTTTATAAAAAGAAACTGTGGTGCTGCGTCGGTGGGAGAGTATAACAAGGTAATTTGGTCTTACCAACTGAGTTGCTAACGTGAATTAGCCACCGTAAAGAGTTTAAAAGCCCACGTTTTGAGCAACGGCGAATGACGAAGGGCTAACGCTCGAAACGTCAGCTTTGTAACCCTTAATGGAGGCCAATTTACGCTATCAACTCAGTTGATGCTAAATTACCCTGAAGGCAACAGATTGGTGGGAAAACTGAAGGGATCGTTAGGAAAATTACTCAGCCACTTATTTTTTCCCATGAACAAATCATGTTGTCTATTCACAAACATCTACCAGACCGTATAAAATTGCTTGAGAAAAGCTATTTTTAAGTCCATCGTCTTGAGATGGGCTTTAATATACAGGCCTTGTCTGAGAAGAAAAGATTTAAGAAAGGCAAATTGGATTGAAGTGAAAGAGGGTCAAGGGTGACTTCCTCAGGATGTAATGAGGGTGCCAAAACAAGCTAGCAGAACGAAGTCATTAAACTGGAAAGGAAGGCAATAGACAAGTAGGAAAAAAGGCTTATGGGGCGAGAGTTGGACGTTTTTGTTAAGTATTTGGAAATAAACGTCCTCATCAAGGTTGATTGTTCAGTTCATGATTAATTTAATTGATGAATCAATTATTCATTCCAGACTGGCGCACCCGAGCGAGGGGAAAATGGAAGTAAGAGAAAAAAAAAAATCTGGGACACGATACTTTCTCTAATTAGTTGGTGTTAAGGCTTTATTTTATCACATTGCCCGTTCGCGTACCACAGTTTTCGATCTTTCCGGATTTTAGAATTCTTGTAGAGATCAAAGCATATAGAATTTCTCATGGCATGAAACATAATAACGCCAGTAATATCATCATACGTGCCTTTCAACGAAAGTCCTTTACTATTCCGTTTTCCTTTCAATGATTTGGTTTCTCTTAGCTTTAAAAACGTCTTCACGATAGCTGGTAAAGATGAAAGTCTTAATACTGAACTGAATAAACCCTTACTGAATCATGAGAAGGAATTTTGTCTCGGAGAGTAATCTCATACAACAGTTCTGCTCTGTTTAATAATATCAACAATTTCAAAATCTTCAAGATCTTGAAATCAGTTCCGGTAATTTTGAAAGTATTCCGCGATTTCAGATTGTCTCTAAAATTTTGTTATAAAGAGAATTAGACGATAACAAACTAGGGGTTTTATCGCAGTTAGTAACATCTGTGGAGCTACAGATTCTCTCCGGAAAGGATAGTGCCATGTTAATAATGCAATCACTAGTTTTGGTAATGACTGCCCCCTATTTCGTGTTCTTTTTATTTATCATGTTTCCGAAAAAGAAACACTTGGTTTAAACGAAATATGGAATAATGATAATTACAATAATTGATTATTGTAGCAATATTATTATTATTATTATTATTATTATTATCAAGGTGATAATAGTAATAAGAATAATGACAATGATGATGATGATAAGACGTTTTTCTAAATCTATGTCGTAAGTCTGTCTTTGTTTTAAAAGGGCTCTCCAATAGAATAGCTTCGCTTTGCTATCTCGCGCAAGGACCGAACCTAGACGACGTCATAGAAAGGGTTGGACTATAGAAACAAAAATTACAGCAAACACTCGAACAAAATGTTGATTTGAGTTCACTGATTTCTAAACGTGATGATAAGGAAAAAGACACGTAATGACTCGACCACAATGACCACCTGGGAGATGATCGTTTAACGATTGTCGGGGCTTAAAGTATCTCTACCTCCTATTTTTAAGACATATTATTCTGATGATTTTGTTCGGTCGGATTCCCGGATGAGAGGCTCGGGCATAGCTTTGGTTGTCTTAAAGCTAACCTAGAAGAGTTAGCTCTATAGATAGACTACAGCTGTCTGTCAGGGAACTGTGTGCTGTGAAGATAATCTTCTGCTTTGCTGTTAGCACCCTCTCAAGGCAAAAAATGGCTATTGCTTTTTTTTTCTCTGACATTCCATCTTTGCAAATTTGATGTTAGAAATTTTAGACATTCTCTCAGAAAAACTTCAACTGTCTGCTCGCTAGTGGATTTCATGAGCCGAAAGTTAAGTTGAGCACACACAATAGATAGGGATACCTAATAACCGTAGGTTCTGGCCGCTGAGAATGTGAAAAGTTAATTTAGTTTTCAAATAGAATGATATTAACAGGTTTGACCACAAAGACTGCTCACTGCCAACCTCCTCTGAGAACAGTTTTACCCCTGGTCACCCGAAACATACTAGGAAATGTATTACGGAGCTTATCACTTCTATGCTGTCAGCACAACGATATATAAACTCGGTGAAAATAGGATCAAAGTTAAAATAGCAACTCGACACAATAGAGACCTAAGAAGTAAAACATGACTCGTGGACTGGGTAATGGTTTAGACTAGACCTGCCAGATTAATCAGATTAGGAAGGGAAAGTCAGGAACCCATCTTTTTCTGACTGATTGAAATTTTACTTCAAAATATGGAAATATCAGCTCCATTTATTTTCTGATTTCCTTACACTTTCGTAATAGTTTTATCAGGAAAATTTACTCCGCAAACACGTTTTCCACGTGGAAATTACAGTTACAGTTCGTAATCAAAGTATTAACATTTGACTCAAAGAGAACCTAATGGGAAAGTAAACCATTGTCGCTAATCCTGTTAAAGTGTGAGGTCTAGCCTGCATTGGATTTCGAAAAATAAAACAAAAATGAAGTTGTCCTGCGTGATAGCAAAGATAGGAAGACCCTAAAGGGGTGCTAAAGCATTCCATGTGTGAGATGGCGATTAAGTGCTTCTTTCCGAAGACTTGAGCAATGGATGAACCTAAAAGATTCTTCCATTCCGTTTACGAGGCTGCTTTGCTAAATACTTCTGAGAATTTCTTGGATTTGACAGAGACTTTATCAGTTGAGAATGTTAGGAACCGCTGCGATACAGCGCTTTGAAATTCTTTAACTGAGGAAAAGAAAGAACAAATTTTCTTACTTTCGAATAAGTGTGAAAGAGCTTTAAGACGACACGATGCCAAATAATCAATTCAACCCGTTCGTTACACTGCAAGGACCTGCTGAAAAGTTTCAACTTTTTATCGGCATAAGCAATCGTAAAAATAATTGGTTCTCGCATTGGAATCACATCAGAGTTGACCCCCTTTCACTACATGGATTTGTCTTGTTTTTGGGCAATCTCATTCTTGCGAAACTGAAAAAAGAAACCGATCAGCTATTTTAGTTCGTCGACGACTTCTGATCTTTCACTGATGGACAGGTTTTATCGAATTATATCTGGAATTTTCCTTTGCACAAGGATCGTATCCATCAGTAGTTTCAAGAATGCTTTAATTTTCGTAACTGGGGTAGACCCTTGTTGGCCTGGTTGAAAAATCATTTTGGTTACTCTCGCCCGATCAAAGACCTACATTCTCCGTAGCGTTTTTCCTCCTGAATACTTTGTAGTAACAGCACTGACCTATCAATGGCCATCAGGATCCACACAATTTGTCGTAGACTACTCGATAACAGGGTGTACTTACAGGTGTAATTTGATGTCCTAGCCATATTTTGTGTTGAGTTATGTTAGTTACAATTTAGATTAGACGTTGCAGCGTATTTCCGTCAGACGGAAGATGATAAGATTGTTGAACTTCACCTAGATGCTTTAAATTGAAAGAACAATGGCCCATACAAACCTTATCCTATCAAGACATGAAGATATAGGGTGGCACAAAGGCTTTTCATCTAGAAAAGTCGCCCTGTTACTGGAACAGCTTCGGCTTAGAATACGACTGAACCCCAATAAGCGTAACCGAGAAAGTCAAAGCTTATGAACTCGATGGCGCTCTCTTTGCGCCATCAATAGCATAATTATTTTTCTCCAATATAGCGGATTACTAAATTATTCAAAAGGCTTATGATTTAATAATTGTTTTTCAGATGTGGAACATATTTGCCAAAAGGGTTTTAAATTATAGATATATTTAGGGGAGCAGAGCGATCCTTGAGTGCCGACCGAATGGCGTGTGTGTTCAATGTAACGGGGTTCGTCCTGTCGCAGTCATTTTCCATACAAAGTAAAATTAATGAACGCAAGATCACCTTCGTTAAACAGCGGTTTATGTTGGAATACCGTTCGTTCTATCGTGGCTCCCGTATATGTTAATTCTCGAGACTAATCGTGTCCGTTATGGCGCCAAAAAACCTCGACCGATAATCAGTGGAGGGTCTTAAATTCACCTAAATCCGACAACAAAGAATGTTACATGTCGACCCAAGGGCAAAATGATGAGTCAAAACAGAGTTTCTTTGTGATACATACCAAATATCTTGATTCTTTCCTTTGTTTTTTAAGGAATAAAGTATCACTGCTCTTACTTTTGACACCCATGTTGTTTCATTCGCTAATACTCGCTGACACACCTTAGCTATCAAGGGGGTTAATTCTATATGCATAGCAATTTTGCATTCATGTTCGGCCGTCTAGATGCTACAATCAATTCGTTCACCAAATTTGGTAAATTACCATGCTTTACACATGTGAGATACGTACGAGGTTCTATATTTCTGAGTGCTGCTGGCCGAACTAACAAACTTGTTTCAGGCTTGATACAAGGTGATTATGGATTATGCGTCGAAGAGTTCCCCGACTCGACTGGAAATTACAAAAACCGCCCGAGTTTCTTTCAATTAAGTCACGACTTTGGAGAGATCTTTGCAAAGTTGCTTCCATTAAGCTCTAACCATTTAGCGCATAGATTTTACTCCTATGAAGAGACTAATTTTCGGTTGAAGCTAACGGGATTAATCCACCCACCTTGATCTGTTTTCCTGGGAATGACAAAGCGACTCAAATAAAAATATATTTCAGTCGGCTTTGATATCTTTTTATACAGTTTGACTCCTTCGCTCCTTCGTCTCGTTTAACCCAACAGTGCTCACACAATGCTTGATCGACTCAGTGGTTGCCTAATTATGACATTAACATCAGGAGGCCTTTGTTTCAGTGCGTAAGGACCTTCGTTACAAAGAGCTCCACTCGACCGGAAGTTCTTCAAACAAAGGTAAGTCGTAACCGAGAGGCGGTGGATTTTTTCAGCATATCAATCACGCAATTACCTGCGAGCGAAGTTCAGCCAAGATGAAGCTTCACCACAGCCTAAAAATACCAAAAACAATGACTTTTCTCATGTGTATCTGGTGACGAAAAACATTACTACAGAAAAAACTAACCTCTGTGTGCCTTAAGTAAATGAACTATCATTAAACTGCTAACAGATAAACAACTAAGCTTTCAGAAGTTTTGAAAGTAATCAAGTTTGGTATCAAAAAAACTTTCTTTCCGATGCGAAAGAAAAAAAATTCTCTATGAAAATGCATTTTTAATGCGTAACAGACTTCGTGGTGTTAAACAGAACTCAAAGTTATCGCAGTTAAATCTTTATGGGAAAAATTTTGTAACTCAATTTAAAAAAATTCGGGCATTGTCTTCACGAGACTTTCAAGTGAATGAATTCAAAGCATTTCCTGTGAGATGACGAGTATTAGTGCAAATTATATTTGTAATCATAGAACCAAAAAACCATTTGGCTTTTTGTCAAAAGCCAAGCAGTGCAACTTTACCTTCAATAAAGTTCAGATATGATCTGTTCTCGTTCTTTGAAATCCAGTCTCTTAGATCACCAAGTTTACAACAGAACTGTGGACCAGACCTTCCAAATGCAAGACCCTCGCGTTTATCAATGTCATGAAAACAAAATAAACCGTCAAGTTTCCTGTTTTTCCAGCTTTTTTTTGTTGCAATTTCCTGTTTACCTAACTGGTAGGAACTATACTTGTCAGACTAAACGACTGAAATAGATCGATCAAAATTATTTGGAAATAGACTTTAAACTCTTCAATCTGTTAGAAGTACAGAATGAATCTTAAACTCACTTTGGAAAAGTCAAATCGTTTTATTTCTTCAGATTGTTTGCATTTAGCATCTAGTGCTATTTATAACCATATATATATAAAAAAAACTCATGTGATAGTAATATAACAGCTTTGTTCGCTACACAAGGACTTTGCCAATTGCATTAGCTAACTATGCAGCCGAAAGATAACCATTTTGAACTCATTCACTCAGAAAACCCTCAAATCACAATCAAACCCCTCGGGTATTATTTCACTCCAAGCACTCTTAATTAAGTTGAGGGGCAGGGGGAGGGGAACTTTGCACTCTCAATATCTGCTCTTCAAAAAGGTTGGGCAAGCGTACTTGTGCTTATCTTTTGAAAAAAATTCCTAATTAACTTTAAGGCTTGCATACCTGCCATTAATCACAATTTGAACAAGTTTTCGAAGCCATTTCCAGCATTTGAACCTCCAAAACATATCAACGTAAGACTAAGAATTAAAAATTTTGAATAAATCATGCATATTCTCTAAATTACCCTCTTCATATTCCCTATGGTGCTGACGTGGAAGCTTTGTTTAACAAACAATAGCTATTTTAGTTTGTGATCATTTCTTGTAATCTCGTGATCTTAATCTTTGATTTAGTAGTGATACCGCGAGGAGAAATAAGATACAAATCATGCCAAGAGGTAAAGGGTTAGTTGTCCCACGACGTTTGCTTAGCATCCAGGCCTTTATTTGCATTTGATGACAAATAACTGCACTGTAATAGCATGCTACAAAAAATGCCGATTTGGTTCTTAATTTCAGACATGAAAAAATCAAAATAAAGAAATCTTCGGAGGAGACCCAGCTATAGCTGGTAGCCGGGTTCAATGAGCCAAGTTTGAAAGAAAGGCGTGGAGCGTTTAACCTTGTTCTATTATTGTGTTGGGGACATGCGCTGTTCAAGTTGGAGCCGTCTGTGGCCAATCAGTGGCTTAAGAGATGTTGGCTGGTACCTTACGATAAACTGAGTTCAGGAGATCATAGTTAATGTGTTAATATATTGGAATTCATCTGGTTCCAAAGAGTTCTGTCTCTCCCAATCGTCAAAATTCTCTAAGTATAGTGAACATCACCTGACCAATCACAGCACGCCATCGGCTCTTTTCTCTTAACTTATAGTTCAATGTTTTATGCTAACGATTTTTAACTATTTTTCAACACAACAAAGATCAAATTTATTGTGATCTCAGAACGTAACAGCCCGGCAAACAACTTTCCTTACACTATATCGAGAGTAAAATGACTCGGATTGACGCAAAATACATTTCAAACAAATTAAATTATCAAACTAATGGTCTTACCTTTTGTTAAGAAAGAGCGTAAACGAATAAACTGCATTTTACCAGAAACAAAGTATCGCAGTTTTCTTGGCGCAGGACCAACTTTTAAACATTCTCTCCAGTTCGCCAGTGTCATTCTTCTATTAAACCGGTTTCCGAGCACAAATGTCACAAGCATTTTCCTCGAAGTTTACCTTTCGTGACACAGAATTCAGAATGATGCTATAAAGAGTTGTCGTTCCTCCCACATTAAAACCCAAATGAAGAATTTCGTGTAAAGGATCATGAACTTCAAGTCGCAAGTTCAGTTTATTTTGAGTCGGCGACTAAAGTACAACTTTTATCCACGTGCGTGAATGGCGTGATGTGATGTCAGTCTAATTGGATCAGCACAGAGATGGGAGCTTTTAATGAGTGGAAGGAAAATTTTTGTAGATCGTAAGTGAACTTTTTATGAAATAATTTTGTAATTGCACTCAACAATTAAAGTGTATTCTGAATACTGCGTAAGACTAAGTGGCCGGAAAACGTGATAGTTTGGGTAAGTTTAATTTGAACTTTTAGGCATGCTTGAGCTCTCAGGTCTCGATCGAAAGACTAAAGTTACCAAGCAACTGAGAGGCGTGGCAAAGAGCAGTGTTTTCCTGGAGTAGTTTCTTGTTTCTTCAGCCAAACAGCAACATAATGCTGCGTGTACATATCAACCATTTCACGCCGGTCGTAATGAGAGGGATAATACAATGCAGTTGTTCTGCGAGTCAGTGTTCAGTTAATAACTATCACACCACCAATTAGGTTTTCCTTGGAAAGAGACTTGCGCCACGGATGGCGGTAATGGTTTCATAAGCAACTGAGAGACCGATCATCGCTGATGATATCGCAAGAACTGCCTTTTATAAAGGTTTGTTCATAATTACTACAAATTGAGCGCACTGTACGAGTGACAATTTAGGTATTGGAATGAATCACGCCCGCATGTCCACATTCATAACCCATTTGATATCTTTGCCCACGCGCGTTTGTTCAAAACTCTTCACTTTATCGAATATACTCCATCTTATCTGAGGAACATTTAGTGATGTTCCCCAATTTTCACTGTTACCTCATGAAAGTCTTAGTTTATATCATGATACAAGATGACGGAGCGTTTTTGTTCTTGTCAAGCAACAGAAGAGACTTACTTATTTGTTCATAACTTGCCGTACTACAGAAATGAAAATCGCACACACACTAAACGTTTTGGACAATAAGCTGCTTTTACACGACTTTCACTCGCACTGCAAAACTGTTTGACGGATACTGACACAATAGCCTTCATTTGGAACAAATACATCTTCCTATATTTTTCCTTAGACATTATCTGTCACTCGAAATTCAAACAATTTCCCGAACTTTGCCCTTGCATAACTGTTCCCTTCTCGGACAAATATCCAACCAAATTTTCACTTCAAATGGAGGTTATTGTTTAGGTCATCAAGCTCTACCCTGATTAATGCTATAAAAAATGACAAAAACCTTGAAAAGACAAAATCTTCCTTTTAATAATAAAACTTTCTATTTAATAATTCGCTATGAGTTATCTATCTCTGGCTTCCTTTAATTTTGAGTTGTGTTCAAATGTGAGACATAAAATCAACACCAAAGTTTAATGTTTGCTTAGATGGTGCAAAAGAAACCTGTGTGTCATGTATCCAGCTTTACACTACTTTGCCTAGTGCAGGCTTCATGTCTGTAAAGTTAACCAACATAGCATAAAAAACCTCTATTGAGCTTTCCCGAGTTAAAAGAAAACCCGTTTTATAATTTGCGTTTGTGTTGTTTAGGAACCTCATTCATTAGCGTAGTTTTCTGAATTCTCATGATATTTTCATGTAGTGTATACTGCAATTTGAATACATCTCTGTGGCTATTCTTTGAGTCATTAGTCATTCGTAGTAAAAATCCTGACTCCCTTCCATAACACCCATGAGCCATCGATCAGGATCAGGTGGCTCAATAACCGTATTGTGTGCGTGACTTAAACTCATGCGAGATCTTTGGCTCCACCATAGACTGATGTAACGCGCGTTACGTATAAATGCTCCTGATTACACATCACTTTGTATTGGTAAGCGAGACGCAACGACGCGTGTTTGTTTTTTGTCCTCGTCGGCATCTCCGGCTCGTTCCTGTACCGCAAATTTTTTGTCCAGCTGTTCGACGCTATTCATTTTTCTGGTGTCCATGCTTTCTGAATCTCTTCTTAGAGCCGTAGGTGTATTTTGTCTGGATTCCCATACATCACTGGGATTGTCAACGAATACATTGTCAGTGTCCCTGTCATCATTATCCGTGTAATGATCAGTTCCTAACGAATTTCGCGGAGTTGAATTTGGTTCTGATGACGTGGGAGTTTGAGGTTCCAAAGGACTCATTAAAACTGCATCTAAGTCAAGATATTCCTGGAAAGTATTTAAAAAAGAATGGGTTAATTTCATCTAATTAAACAATTTCGAGTTACTTATGTACCCCTTCCTATTACACTAGGGAATTCCCTTTGCCTTAGCTAGAGATCGTGCAGACGACGTTAATAAGTATTATCAAATTCTAGAAAGCAACAGAATAAAAGAAGAATGGACAAGGAGTAAGGAGAATCGCTGTCCACAATTCAAAGCCTTTCATTAAACCCTATACACCCTAACATCAGTATACATATTCTCCATACTGTTTTCTAAACATTTCCTAAGGTGCTGACAAGGAGAATTTGTCTAATAATCAAGAGTTTCTTAAGTTGGCGATCACTTCCTTTATTCTCGTGACCTTAATGTTTGATTCAGGAATGATATGGTAAGAAGAAATTAAATGCCAATCACTCGTTGGGTTAAAAGGTTAAACAACTATGATATGAACGTGCACCCTTTCTTCTTGATATTTTGAGGTTATTCCCTCAACTCAGTCAAAGGAAATTAAAGATAGTGCAGATGATGTTTGTAATTAATAACAAATTTTGACAAGCAATAGAATAGAAAGAGTGTGAAAAAAAAAACAAAGAAACACTGCCCATCAAGTGATGATCAAGAAAAACGACACTAACCTTGTCCGACAGGGACACCAACATAGCGTCAAACTCTTGGACTAATTCTTGAAAGTTTGGTCTGTGCAGCGGCAAATCTTTCCAACATTTAAACATAATTTCATATCTAAGAGAAACGGAGAGACCAAAGGCATGTTATATCTCATAAAGATCGGGCTGTTAAGTGCGGAATAGCACTCAAGTCATTCTAGCAGTAAAGTATCACTGATTGAACAACAAAAGTGCGTTGTCTGAGGCTAAATTTAAATATTTCCAAAAAAAATATCCTTAGCCACTCACATGTTGTCAGGACAATTCAAAGGTTTCTCCATTCTGTGTCCAGACTTCAGAAGCTCAAAAAGGTTTTCCAAAGGTACACCAGGGTACGGTGAGCCACCTAGTCACGAAAAAAGGGCCAAAACGAAATTTTTAATTCCTGTTCCAAGCTTAATTATGTCTCTGTTACAAAAAAGATTCTCATAAACTCGGCGTTGACTGATTTACCTTTCACATCGCCTTTCCTTATTCCCTTTCAAAAAAACACTCCATGTTAATGAAAAATAATTTAATTTACTTACCGAAAGTAACTATTTCCCACAAGAGTATGCCAAACGCCCACCTGCAAGAGGTAGAGAATTGACATAGTACTATTATCAGCAATATTATTATTATAATCATCATTATTATTAATATCATTTTTAATCTTAAGATTACTATTATTTTCACCCCTATCATCATCATCATCATTATCACTTCTATCTCCACTATCAATGTTATCATAATTACTTTTCTTTTTTGTATGCAGAGTACTTCGAATGGTTCTAAAAGATAAGATTTCATTTGTTCATTTTGTGTAGTGATGTCTTTCACCATCTTCACTCCGCATGAGAGAAAAAAAACTACTTACACATCACTCTGCGTTGTGTAGACCCGATCAAAGAGAGCTTCGATTGCCATCCACTTCACTGGAAGGCGACCCTAATGATCAAGACAAAAAAAATTTGTGACACAGAGTAGTATCTTAAGATTTGAACACTGCAATCTAATAATTCACTGGATTGAGAGGGCAATGGCGGGTGAGATAACAGATCGTGTCGTCATTCAAAAAGGACAGTTCAAACGAGAAAGTGGACGGGTCTTAAGACTAATGGATTTATTTTCTATCGTATTCCAACTAACAGAATCAGACTCTTTCAGACTCTTTCAATTACTTAACCCATGATTCCCTTTTTTCTTTCTTGTTCAAGTTGCGTCTGTAATCATATTTTTGAATGATATATTTTCGGAAAAATACACACACTTTCGTGAAGTCAGTCGTATGACTACAGACCGAATGGAACTCCACTCGGTCCTCTCACTAGTGTATAACAAAACTAAGAATCTATTATAGCTTACATCTGTTGTTTTCCTGTAGTAATCGATTTGATGAACATCTCTTGCAAGTCCAAAATCTGCGATCTTCATTGTGTTATCCTCTCCAACCAAAATATTCCTTGCCGCGAGATCACGATGAATGCACTGAGAATTAGACAGAAACAGTTAACAACTCAGAGACCACCACCAAATCTCCTCCAACAAGCTAAGAGTGTTTAGGGAAGGGTGGCTTTACAAGTTAGTGTCAGAGGATTAAATGGGATTCCACCCTGCTAATCGCCAGGTTTCAATTCCTTCTCCTAACAGCCTTTGAAAAGAAGTTGACGGCTTTACTTTCTTTCATTGTGTAAATTAAAACTCCATGATATCATGAAATTAAAACTCGATTACATCCCCTGAAATCATTTGGGTTATTCTCTCAGCTAGATTTGTTCCTTTTCAGAAATGAAGATGGATGATATACAAAACACTAACCTTCTTTGAAGAAAGATATTCCATTCCTCTCACAATTTGATAGGCAAAAGAGACTAAGTCTTTGAGGGTTAGGGTGGTCGTGTATTCCCTGGTCGGTCTCCTATCTTTTAAGAATTGTCTTAGGTTACCATTTGGCGCGTACTCCACTACAACAAACAGCGGACCTGAGAATGAAGAGTATAATAGTAGAATCATGGTTTAGTTTAACATCCCTACCAACGAGAGGAGAAAAAACGTTTTTCCGTGGTGTGTAGTAATCAACTAACCTCCCTGTGTGCAGGCTCCGATTAAATTGATAATATTCTTGTGTTTTCCAATAGTTTTCATCACCTCCATCTCTGATACAAGATCTGCAAGTTCGTGTTCAGTGGCATCCTCTGAAATAAATGACAGGATTGACCGTTTCAATTAAAAGGGGTGAGATAACGTTAATAAGAATTGTGAATGTTAAGATATTTTTCGGTGAGCGTAAAAATTTTAAGTCGGTGAAGTTCTTCAATTCAGCAATCACATACAAGTCTATTTTTGACAATAACGAAACTCGGGCAGCCTCAGTGACGCATTCAGACCTTGAGGGAGGTATTATTCAGATACACAAGAAAATCAAACCCACCTTTCAACATTTTCACAGCAACCTCGAATCTGTAGGGCATATTGGGTAATCCAAGCGCTTCAGCCTTCATGACTTTACCAAAAGCTCCTTCTCCAAGAAGCCCCAACAACACGATCTGCTCCCTATCAATTTCCCATTTTTGGTCCAATGGCATTTCCACTTCTGACACTTGTGTCAAATTAGAACCCAATCGAAGGCGCAAACTGTTCTGACGTAATAATGGAACCGTAGACCCGTAAGACGAAGAGGAACCGACCGATGGCGCATGTGTCCTAAACTGGACAACAAGTTCGTTAGGTTTATCAGGGGAAACCATACCATAATCAGCGCTTTTATAGAACTTAAGCTTGCGATGGCAGACAAAGAACCCCAATGCAAAACACACCAAAACCATGAATGAGATGGTAAACACTATAATGTACATATTCTTTTTTGATTGTGGCAAATCAGCTTTCACTATTTGTGCCTCCACATTCCGGTTGGGGGGAAAAGAGGTGATGTTTACGGCGTTGATCGTGTTAGGCCGTGACGAAGTTGTTAGCTCTGAAGAAAAAAATAAAAGAGTATTATTTCATTAATTAATGGTTAATTCGTCCACTCGATCCTTCGAGCATTGATCGGCTGGTTCGTTCACTTGTTCGCGCTTAAGATACTTCACGCGTCCCTCTGTGTATTCCCTCTTTAACCTTTATTTATTCAGATTGATCTATTACTTAAAAACCAAAAATTTTCATCATAATTATTTATTAAACTATTCAAATTATTCATTAAATCACCATCATCATAACTATCTCACCTGGCCAATCGCGAACGGAAATGAAAGCATGTTCGACTGCGTAGCCGACAGCATTACCCACAATGCAAGTGTACTTGCCCACGTCCTTCTTTGTAACATTTACCAAAGTCAACTTCACTCCGTGGAAATCAAACTTTTTGCCACCTGCAGGCATGATTACATGTTGGTCTGTTTCTTCCTTATTCACGATTTCGTAGTGTGGACTTTCAATTGAACCGTTGGTCGAATTATTGAAAGGCGTGGGAAACCACCTTAGCCACTGGAAATGAGGCATGGAATCACTTAATGCTTTGCATGTTAAGCTGGCATTTTCTCCTCGATAGACCGTGACGTTTTCCATAGGAAGGACTACTGGTTCAGCACGAGCTCGTTCTGAAACACAGGGTTCAATAAAATGTTGGATATACACAGTACACATAGGAAAGTTATTACGAGGTTGCTCACCCAACGGACGAACAATGACTGGCTCACAAAGGTAATGTTACCTCAATAAAGGGTTTCGGTCACCTAAATATCTATAATTCAGTCATTGAGCAGATTAAAACTGCCTTTCTCTTCACAATGCACAATATGTCTTTATGAAAAACATTTTGGTTTGCACTGCTATTTGCCTCTGAGTCGCTTTAAGTAATTATGACTCCTTGACATTTTTAGCTTTTTAGAAATAGCGGGGTAATGGTGCCCCTTTAATTCATTAATTCATGCTTAGGAATTTATCAAGGACATTTTTAGGGGGTAGTCTTAACTTGTAGTTGTTGTGATTCGCTAGCTGAACTCACGGCTATCAACGAACTGACAGACGCATATGGTTATAAAGCTAACTATCTGGCTGAATGACGAACCGGCTAAACTACCAAGACTAACAGCCACTAATTGAACGACCGACAGACTAACTGTTTAAGACAGAGAGACATGATGATTGAATAACTAAGCTGCAAATTTACTGATAGAATGATTGACCGACTCTTTCTTTTTAAGGGAAGGGATCGAAAATGTACAACTACTTCGGATGATGGGATCTTCCGAGAATAAAAAGCATTTAATAGCAAAACTTAAGAGAGGACTAAGAATTCTTTTACCATTATTTTTGTCCTTACCATGAACGTCTACTTTGTATGTATGATTAATCCACCCGTATAAGTTGCTCACATTACACAAGTATGACCCAGTGTCAGAGGGAACCAAGTCCTTCAGACTCAATTCGGTTGTCCATGGACTCAAATACAATTTGTTGCCACCTTTCCTTTCCTTAAACAATTTTCCGTTTTTGTACCATTTCACGGTAGGACGAGGGTTTCCATCGGCAGAACAGTCCAGCTTTACAGAGTTGCCAACAGGTACTGCAAGAAGGTTGCGAATCATCTTGTTGCCCTTCACCGTAAATTTTGGAGCAACTGCGATATACAGAATAACCACAATTGAGGCAAACTCGCTTTTCAACATTTTCAGCCAGTGCGTGCATTGAACTATCTCCCACTCAATAAAGAATTTTAAAGCGGAAAGTCTCGCTTTATTTCTGACCTGAGGCATAGAATGGTGTCACAAATTTAGACCTTTCATATGGCTGAAGGTGTTATTTATCCGCCAAGTATAATGTATCCTACTTAAACTGCATCTAAATAAATTCAGGTGTCGGCAAAAAATTCGTGCATTGAGAATAAAGCTTCGAGAGGGAGAGCTGACATAAGTTGATTCAATTTTGTTCGTCCCTTTGAAGCGTTACCTTTCAACCCTTTAATTCATAGTGATTAAAATGTATCTTCTTCCCATAACATTATTATCTAGCAAACATGTAATGAGAATACTCAAATTTATCAGTTACAGGGTTGTTTTCTTGATCTAACACCAAATTCTCGTACCTAATTTACAAGGAAATGTGTAGCACCTAGAGGGAGAATTGACAATCCGATCTTGAGAGTGGAAGGGTTTAAGCCATTTCTGTTCCCGTGTTAACGTTGGACGCAGAAAAAGTGAAACACTCACGAAATCTACAGGATTACAAATACGACAGCCACATTGTTATTATTTTGCAACTGGATTTTATAATATCTCAACCAGAAAGGTTCATTTAATGGGAATTGTGGATAATAGACTTGAACCCCACGTCAATTTTTTTCAATATCGGTCTACCTCTTGTGACAGAATCGACTTCTCTATTAAAAAAAAAAGCCAAAATTGGCCCCTGCATCAGTTGAACTACTTCTATATTCATCTTTCATTTTTTTCTTACTCTGATAAGAAATGCAAGAACACCTGTCTTACCTCCTGTTGTATTTTTGTTCGGATCCATTGTTGGACCTTAAAGAAAAAAAAACCAAGGATTTCTCTCCGTGGACAGCTCTTTCGTAATGCAAGTTATCTGTGATTACATCCCCCTGAATCTCCCTTCCCATGCCCTAGCGGTATTGTTAGTTTCTAGCTCTCCTTAGCTCATTACTTTATCCCTTTAACCCCCAAGAGTGACTGGCATCTAATTTCTCCTCATAGTATAACCCCTAAATCAAACATTAAGGTCATGAGAATACTGGAAATGATCAACAAGTACAGGAGCTCTTGATTGTTAAACAAATTCTCCTTGTCAGCACCTTAGGATATGTATCGAAAACAGTATTGAGAATATGCATACTGATCTTAGGGTGTAAAAGGTTAATGGTAAAGAAAACATTGTACCTTCGTTTGTAAGAAACGTCCGTAGTGATGGCAAGGAGTAATTACCTTCATTACCCGCCTCAATTCCTCACTTCAGCAACTTCAACACAAACTGAAATCACCTCCTTTTTCGCACACAGAGAGCATAAAAGAACTTTCCAGCTTAACCTCTCAGGATCTCACTATAAATTACGCGCGTGGCTATAGTTTTAAAAACTTTAGAGGGTCGCAAATGTTTTACTTACTTCCGACAAATAGTTGCATTGTAAAACGATTCTTGCCACAGTCATTTACCGCGACACAGGTGTAGAAGCCGGCGTCCTCTTTCTGGGCTCTTTTTACCTTTAGGTATCTGTAGAGTTTTAACCTCATACGTTGATGATTCGATGTAATGAGCGTCTCATTGTCTCTGAGCCAGTAATAACTTAGTTTTGAGTTCTGATCAGCAGTTCTGATCTGGCAAGTGAGTTTAATATCCTTCCCGCTGGTCACCTCGATGACTTTTATCTCGCTTCCGTTCTTATTACGAATGATAGGAACTGAAAGAGATGGTTCGAGTTTAGGAATAGACTACATTTGTATTCTGTCTCATGGCAAGGATAAATTGATGATGATTTTGTTATAAACTGGTTGAGGCTAAATTTTACAGCCCTTTACTTTTGTCCCCAAGTCCTCATTGGCTTCTAGGTTACTGAGAAAATTTTGAAGTTCGGTTTGCCTCTGGCACTCGTTAATTTAGGCCTTTGCCAGAACGTCCTTGATTATTCAAAACGTTTTTTACAGAGTGGGCAAATGAACAGTGCATTTTGGTTTGAAATATGGAATTCACAATTTGAGAAAGCTCTGTTCACCTTTCACAAGGTCAGCGGCGTCACTACTCTTATTGTTCCCGTCTCTTTTTGAGAAAAACCGGACATTCATGAAAGGTCACCGAAAGGTTAAAATATCGCAAATTAACGCTGAAATAAAGTGACCTCCTTTCAAAACTTTTCGAATCCTAACCAGGCAGTTTGGCACTTTCAATTAACAACTAATTATGAATTCCTGCAAAATTTAAGCTTCGTGGCTGGGTTAGGCTTGATTGACTGTAAGCACAAAAGAGCTTATATACGGCTTACGCAGTCTTACAGTAAATCAAGCCTTAGACATCGGGACTGCATATTGTGCAACTAAGAAGTTTAGTCCAGATGTCAATAGTGAGTGCCTGACTGACTTCTCTTTTGTCCTACGTGGCAGATTTACTATGGCTTAGAAAGCTTTTATTACGTAAATCTACTCATAGCCGTCCGTCTTACAGAAAAGAACGTTTAAAGGTTAATCCGTCACTTAACACACAAATTCTTTAGAAAAAAACATACTCAAAAACATTTGCACGTTAACTGCATGGTTTGAAAATTTTAGAAGTTTTTCGTGTTATATCGTTATTACTACAACCACAAAAACTCATACTTTGACCATCGTCTCTATCAAGTCGATATCAAAATAATCATTGTATGGCTGGAAAACTATTTTTTTTTTAATTATTAATTATCCGTAGCTCTGGTAATAAATTTTTCCATGCATTATTATTCGAGTCATCGTCTGTCATAAAGATTGCTCTGCCTTTCGTCTTGTAAAGTTTGTCATGAAAAAGGTCAAGAAGTAAATTGAATTCAGTGAACAGGAAATACCGGTTTTCTGCAACATTAGTCTCGAAAAACCGAATGACAAATCGAGAAAGAACGTATGGTTTTTCCGCTTGAGACAAACAGGCACAGTCACGGCATATTTATGGATAACCTTGAAACTGAGACAGGAACCACTCTGGTTTTAATTAAGTCTCCCACCACTTTAAAATTTGTTTCGGGGGGACAAGTACAGAGCACTTGCTTCGTGATACTAAGTTAGATCTAATCAACAGTTGATGAAAAAAGACTTATATGAGAAATTCTTACATAAACAAAGAAATTGGGAGTTTATATTTGTCAGACTGTTATATCTCCTAAATATCCATTCTTTCTTTTTCGTTCAGGTTAATCCAATTTAAAAGAGTATTGTTATCTACGAATCTCTCCAAAAGTGTCTTAGAAAAAGAAAAAAAAAAGCATGCGATCTCAATCGATCAGACAGCAGAGAATGAAATTTTTCAGACTGGAGCGGAAATATTAGAAGACCGCATAAGAAATGCTTGGTTGATTTTCCATACTAGTCTAAATTTAAAAGTAACTGATCCCAAACCAAGCAAATTATTCCATCGAAATGACATAATAAAAAAGTCGTGTTCAAGGATGCCTCAGTTCCTGATTGAAAAGATTTTCACGGCTTTTTTCCTTTAGCTCCCTTGCAATTCCAACCCAAACTGAACAAATACAAGAGTAAAAATACCAATCAGCTCTTGGTAGGACTTGGTTTGGAAGTGTTTTTGATTTGGTTAATGACAGTAATGAAAAATGATTTCTCAGAAAGGAATTTCTGAGAAAGCATCTGGGATTGCAGCGGCATAAAGTCGAGAACACGTATAACACTGAATTCTTTACCCCGACTTTATCACATAATTTTTCGTGAAAATTAGTTTCCTTAATAAACAATTCTGCTTTAGATGTTTTAAATCCGCTCATTCCCTCGCCAGTCACAGAAATTTTTGCTTCTCTGATCGCGGTTTAAAAGCAAAAGCAAGACAAAGTGGCAACAAAACTCATCGTCGAGGACTGTCGACTTCTATTTGCTCAAATTATTATTTCTTCAGAAACAAAGTGGTAGCTCAAATATTTCAAATGAGTGTCGAATAATCTGAACCTTGTAGGATACAAAGCCTCTAATCCAGCGAATGCCAGCGGCACGAGCGAGTCAGCGAACGAGCCGACGAATGAACGAAGGAGCAAAGCTAGAGAGAGACAAAACTAGGCTATGAAAAGTTGGATCGAATGGTCATGTTTGTGAATAAATATGGTGGTGGGAAAGTCATTGACTCAAAGGTGATAAAAATTCAAAGAAAACCTAACCTCGCCTCAAATTTCATAAAAGAATCAGGGACAAAAAGGGAATCTAATACAGTAGATCGTTTATGAAGTCTTAGTCGGATTAGGCTGGTAACTTAATTTTTCTGTGAGACAAGAGCTACCTTGAGTAAATCAATATTAATATATGGATAGTAAACTAAATATACTATTTTGATGGTGCGAAATATCTTCACGTAATGAGATTTTGATAGCCGACGAGCCCTAATGCACGTACAACGGATGATGCCTTGGCAAGTTTTAACCTATTGGACGTCTTACTGGGATTTCACAAACCACGAGGAACTGCTTTTACAGTGTTGCATTTCGTTGTACTGAGCACGTGTATTTTGACCTCGAATCAACACAACAGGACTTTGTATTACCAGACCAAAATAATTCAACGATATTGGTTGAATGCGGAGAAAACACTAGTGGGTACTTTTCCGCTTCTTGTAAGATCAAAACATTTGCAGCTGAATATAATTCCCCGTCACTTTCTAGAGGCGAAGGGCTGGCGAAAATGCATTTCATGAGAAAATCATGAAATTGTTCTCTGACACTGTGTCGACCCCGTGATCCCACTAAAAGGGGAGGATGTGAAATTCTAAACGTTTCCATACTGATACAGGAAGACGCGCGCGTCTTCAATAGAATCGATTATTCTATTTTCGTAGGTGTGAGGAATACTGATATCATGAAGAGAACTAATGTGTCCAGCGACTGGTATTGCCGGATTTAAAAGAGATGATATTTTGCCATGGAGATAAACTAATAACAACGCTTCTGCATCCTAGGAAAACAGAAAAGAGATAACAAGTAGTATTCTTCTTTCTCAGCAAAACGTTCACACATCAGCTTTTGACCTACGTTCCAATTTCTACTGAAAAAGGTGCAGGCCACCGCTCACTTGATCAACTCACGCCCCGAGTTAAAAGATCGAGCAAGTGACAAAGAGGCTGGTTTTTTTTAGATTAGGTCGGTGGGGTAATGTCTTTTTCAACCACCGTGGGGATCCAAAATTTCCGGGAAAATATTGAGAAGTTGACAGCACAGCTGTGCAACTCCTAGCAGTCTGTGCCTTGTTAAAAGCGATTTATTGCTTAAGATAGAACTTCTTCCAAGCCATCATTGTTGTTTGGAGAGGAAACAAAACAAGAGACGACCTGTCCATATAAATTTAAAATAGATGGCTCTTTGGGTCGGGTCATGGGAGGCAGCAAGAAGACGAAAAAGAAAGCTTTGAGACAAACTTGAAGCCTTATCTCTTCTGCTTAATCTGCCGGCTTTTTGTGGCTTTTCCTTTGCTTATCGATATCATTATACAGTGAATAAAATTCAGAAAAGGGCGATTTTTCCGCTTTTTCAAGTTCAGTTGATGAAAGAGAATGTAGAGAAAGCCTCTAACTCGGAGGGTCTCGCGTGGGTTAATAGCAGTGACGCCAGCGAGGCAACTTACTTCAGAAAAGACAATGCGATTGCCTAACAAGTATTGTTCTTGTTTCCCATTCTGGCAAACAATCAAAGATTACACGCAACCAGATTGGCAGAGGGCTCGCCACAACAGACAGGACTGATAGCGTCGAAACAAAGTCGATTCTGCTTGCGTCTGCTCAGGGGAAAAATAAAGGTGCAAATGATGGTATTCTGGTAGACGCATTAAAGCGGCATCAGATCTGTTAGTTCTAACAATGAAGGCACTGTTTTCCGTCCAACAAACAACAGTAAATATTTGTAGCATCAAATTGATGGCCGTCAAAAGTTTTCCTTTTACTGTGAGTGACGTTTTGCAGTGAGCGCAAAGTAAAACGTTTTCTTAGGAGTTTTAGTCTAGAGATATTTCAAATTGTCAAATTATGATTACAGCTTTAGCGCTGCATAGTGTCATTTTCCACTGATCAGTGATTAAATTTTCCATTGTACGAGTGACTGGCGCTTAAAACTAATTATGTTCCATCGAGATTGCTTTCTAATTTAAACAAGCACCGCTTTTCTATCTAATTTTGAACACAGTGCAAATTGGAAGGGAATCCTGTTTATTTCTTGCGTTTAATGGACTTAAATTTCGCTCTGAAGTTTACTAATAAAGTTTTTAGATGTACTTTCAGTGCATGTTATGATGTTGAAAGCTCCGATTACATCTAAAAGGCCTCTAAATATCACATGCTTTGGTGCACCCCGCTTATTTATGTTTGTTGCGTTTTTACAGCTCGGTTTAGCTTCACAGTGATAGCTTGAACTCATAGATATCCACCTTAAAAGAAGGTTACACAGCGATAGATAATCAGCGCTGTACCTGGGCCTAAAGACTGGGAGGTGGAAGACCGAAATAGCCGTCAATTGTTCACCAACAATAACAGTGTATAACAATGAAATAGAGCCTTGTTTTCAGTTGCAATTCGGTTTTGACCGAAGTCAAGTTAAGATTCACTTAATTTTCGCACCCTTTTCTTTCTTGTAATAGCGAAATAACTCCTTCCCGTTGTGCCAATTTAACTATGAAAAGCAAGTTGCGAAACTATTCAACTGAACAGTCGGTTCGTTTTGCGGATTGTAATTAAAACGTAGCAAATAAGCTTCGAAGGCCGCTTACACAAAAGATAGCATAGTTAAATAGTTAGTCATAAGTGTCGGACAACTTACGAAAGGAAGCCGCAGTTTTATAAGCTTAGGAATAAATGGATTTCTGTTGCGCGGTTTACTACACGAAGACGAAACAAATTTGAGCTAAGTCAAGTTCATGAAATGGACACTCAATTCAACGCTGACGTCGATATCTCTGAAATTGACACGCGCTTTGTCGATTTTAAATGAAATCGGCACTTTCTCAAAAATTGCATGTTGTCGACGTGAAACAATAAAGATCAGAGATCAGTTTCATCTCGAGAGGTAAAAAATAATTTGGGACATTTTCATTGCATTCCTGTATCACGTATTTTTCAACAA